GGACCGTATCGTAAAGGCAAGGGCCCTCATCGGCAGGCTGATAAGCTTCAGGTCGGGCAATAATAGGCCGCGAATTGTGCGCACCGTCAGAATGGCGTTTGCTGGGACAAATATCAGTTTGTCCCAGCCGGATATAACGCAAAAACTGACGGAGCGCATAGACGACCTGAAGCAGAGAATCGCTGCTTGGGGGAAGCGGATTCGGCGATATACCGAGAGGTCGACACGGTTCAACCAGAATCGTCTCTTCCAGAGTGATCAGAAGAGGCTATATAAATCATTGGAGCGACCAATGGTACGTGGAACGGGCCAAGCACCGAATCAGGCCGACACTGTCGCATTCTGGCGCGGCCTGTGGTCAGAGCCCGTAAACCACCGCGAGGGCCCTTGGACGGAAGTTGTGGTGAGTCAGTGTGCGAATCTTACGCCCATGGACCCCGTCATTATAACGCCGGACGATGTAGCTGAGGCGGTCCGAAGGGCCCCGAACTGGAAAAGTCCGGGGCTCGACGGGCTGCATCACTACTGGCTGAAGGGGTTCGTGGTGTGTCACGCTGTGCTCGCCCGACAATTTCAAGAGGCTCTCGACCAAAAGTCGCTCCCGAGCCTCTTCACTACTGGGATCACTCATTTGGTTCCTAAAGACCGGGATACCATAGACCCGAGCAAATACCGCCCCATCACGTGTCTACCCACGATATATAAGACGCTAACATCCATTTTGAGCGCGAGAATCACTCGTCACCTGAACTCAAATCAGGTGATGTCGCGCGCTCAAAATGGATGTCGGGGCGGTGGTCGTGGAACCAAGGAACCACTCCTCATTGACGCGGTCATTGGCAAAGTGGTTAAACGCAACCGTCGGAACCTATCCGCCGCCTGGATAGACTACAAAAAGGCATTCGACTCGGTGCCTCATACATGGCTGGAGAGGGTCCTCGAGCTGTACAAGGTTGACTGTACCGTTAGAGACTTCCTTGGGCAGTGTATGGGGCAGTGGAGTACGATTCTTTGTCATCTAGGCGAGCGGATGACGGCTGCGGAGAACCACATAAGGATAAGAAGGGGTATCTTCCAGGGCGATTGTCTGAGTCCAATCTGGTTCTGCCTCTCTCTGAACCCTCTCAGTACCTTACTGGAGGGCTCCGGGAGGGGATTTCAGCTTCGGAGGGGAGGTACAAAAGTGACCCACCTTTTCTATATGGATGATCTCAAGTTATTCGCCTCCAGTCGCTCTCATCTTATGGAATTGCTAAACATCACTTGTGATTTTAGCAATTCTATTAGAATGGTGCTGGGGACGGATAAGTGTGCGGTCCTCCATGTTGAAAGGGGAAGGGTTGCTAACTCTGAGGGCATAGATTTATCTATGCCCATCAACATAAGGACCCTTTCCGAGGCTGAAACATACCGATACCTGGGTATGTCACAGAACATCGGTGTAGATGAGGCGGGTATGAAACAGTCAGTTTGCGATGTGTTTTATGCACGCTTGACCAAATGCTTAACAGTCTTTTGTCCGGTGTGAATAAGACGCACGCGTATAACGGTTGGGTCATGCCTGTTCTCATGTATACCTTTGGCATACTTAGGTGGACTCAGACCGAACTAAATGCTCTGGACAGAAAAGTACGCACTATAATGACGTCCCACAGGATGCATCATCCGAGATCGTCAGTAATGAGGCTGTACTTGCCGCGGAAGCATGGCGGGCGCGGCTTTTTAAGCGCGCTTACCATGCATAATCGCGAAGTGTGCAGCCTCCGTAATTACTTTCTGACGAGAGCGGATGATCCATACTATAAGGACGTTATTTCTTGTGATAAAGGACTGACCCCTCTATCCTTAGCCAACGAGCAATGGCAAGACCCAGCAGTACAGTGCATTTCCGACCGGGAGACCGTATGGAAGAAGAAGGAGCTCCACGGAAGGTTCTACAAGGCTCTACATGAGCCTTTCGTAGACACAGTCGCCTCCCTCCACTGGCTACGTTTCGGTGACCTCTTTGGGGAAACCGAGGGTTTTGTCTGTGCGATACAGGATCAGGTTATTAAGACCAACAATTATCGGAGATACATCCTATAGGATGGCGCCGTCGACATCTGTCGAGCTTGTCGCCATCCCGGTGAGTCACTTAGGCATGTCATCTCCGGTTGTTCGGCGCTTTCTAACTCTGAGTATTTGCACAGACACAATCTAGTAGCCAGGATTCTACACCAGGAGCTCGCTCTGAAATACGGCCTCGTGGATCGGAAACTGCCGTATTATAAGTACTTGCCGGAAGCCGTGCTCGAAAATGACCGCGCCAGGCTCTACTGGGACCGGGCCATCATCACAGACAGGACTATTCTTGCGAATAAGCCTGATATTGTGCTGATGGACCGGGCACAGTCAAGGATCTTTTTGGTCGACATTACCATTCCTTATGACGAGAACCTCGTGAAAGCCGAAACAGATAAGGTGACAAAATATCTGGACCTGGCTCACGAGGTTACCGGCATGTGGGGTGGTCTGCCGACCGAAATTATTCCTGTGGTCGTTTCTGCGAATGGGTTAATCCAAGTCAGCCTCCCGGGTCATCTGAGGCGACTGGGACTCCGTGACGGACCGCTGCAGGCTCAAATGCAGAAGGCGGTGCTCCTCGATACCGCCCGCATCGTCCGCCGGTTTCTTTCCCTTTCCCCCTAACCCTCGGCCGTCTGGTCTCCCCTGCCGAGGGCTTCCATCTGGTTGGGTTTTATATATATTTATGTATTTTTTATGTATTTATTTTATTTTATTCATATTTATGTATGTTTACCATTTTCATTTACAATTATATATTTATACTGCCCAACCAGATGAGAAAACTTTATAGATACCCCAATAATAATAATAATTTATTTCAGACCCACATATAGTCCAAAATGCAGATGCGTTGTCAACCGTGAGGACTAAGATGGAATGCCTTGTTTCCAGTAAAAAGGGTATCCGGTTCTCTACACTCACCAAACGAAACACAGCAGCGTTAAGCTGTTATTTTACGCTGGTATTTTGAGAGTTTCTTGATAGCATTCACAAGCGCTGTATTAATATATAAAAAAACGTGTGCGTGTACTTATGTACGCCCGTAGGAAGTTATACTTCTTTAGCGTAACAAAACAAAAAAACTTGAGAGACAATTACCCTCTGAAGTTGTCGCTTTTCGGTGTCAGTGTATCATAGGGCGCGCATCGTAAAAATTTACTCTAATAATTTTTCGCAATCGCCCAAAAAAAAAACTTCAAAAATTCTCCTATAACTAATTAGACCATAAAATTTCATAAGTTATAGGTAATTAACATTTGTGCAAGATAAGCGGTTGATGGATATTAACAGCTTTAAAAGGTACTGATAAAAGCTAATCAGTGCCTGGAACGTGAATACGTCTTTACTGGAAATGAGGCATTCCATCTTAGTCCTCACGGGTGACAACGCGTCTACATTTTGATTTGTAATAGAGGATAGATGTAGATGTCTATGGGCCGCAGCAACCACTTACCATCAGGTGGACTGTGTGCTCGTTTGTCACCCTTATCCTATAAAAAAAAGAAAAAAAAAGAATGGGATTGAAAATGGCGTCGCCTCAATTCACTTCTCGGTCGCACATTGTCGCTATCTATACTCACACCGCCGGTAAAGACTGCAAAAAATATGTTGTCATATGCGTTTGTCGTACGTTCTATAACTTCAGTCCGTCTTGTCATTGTAATCAATGATAACAAAATGCAATAAACTACAAACAAAAAAATCAGTCCGGTTTCGCTATTTTGTGAACGACGCGTTCTGAGAGCTTTCTTCTTAATTATTGTTGATTTTGTATGTTAATATTTTTGTATAAAATATTTACATGCCATTGATACATGCGTGACCATTTCAAAAATGTTCGTTTGTCTGTCTGTCCGAGCTAATCTTTGGAATGGCTCAACAAATTGTAATAAAACTTCACGAACAAATAGATAGTAGTATCAGGAGTGATCCAGAATAAATTTTATCCGAAAAATTTGAGACTTTATTAAAATATAAATATTGATAACATAAAATAAATGGTCTTTAATGATAATCTTAAGTCTAAATAATACCACATTCATAGATCCCACCCAGGCGAAGCCAGAGCGGATTGTAAATTATGCATGTTATTTTAAAATTAATGTACCTACTTGCGTATACTATTATTTGCAAACATTTTCCCGTTATAAAAAAATTCAAATAACCGAATAGTATAAAGTTATAACGATATACCTTTATTGGCGGGTTTTCATTATTGGTACTGTTATATAGACGGTACGGGCTCGATGAGCCACCATTTCTAATCCCATTCTTTATCCGTACGGACTGTAAATAAAATACACGTCAGACCTGGCTGTATGGAAAAATCCCTTTGACTTAAATTATAAAAGAATCAATAAATGACTTAACTTTCAAACTTTCAAATTGAAAGTTTCAATTTGACAGGTGACAGCTGAGAAAGTGTCTTTTGGTGTCTTTTGTGCTGTGAGATTATTTTTAAAATCTTTCATTTCTATTAATAAACCTATATAAGATTTTGATACGATATGACGATATCGTAACGATTTAAAAGAAGCACTTAGAGTGAAGATGTGTTGTGTTTATATCACTAAAACGTAGTTGCGTTAAATTTGTGCCGAAATTCAATGTTTGTGTTTACAAGTACTGTTATGCCTCATACTCGTGTATTTGTGCTTTAAAATTTGTTTTAAATTCACATAAAAATAATAAGACACTACCTACACTTTTATTCATAGAACATTAACCTTTTAATATAGGGCAACCATGAGTGTATACATTCGGATGTTGATAAGATCGTAATCTTTATTTTTTTTCTGATTAGACTACGGATATGTTTATTTTATGTGAGAGAACACCGTGTGTGTTGTGCTTAGATCAATTGTGAATACTTATCACAGCTTATTAGTGAAGAGTTAGTGTAATAATATATTATACGGTATTATACGGTTATAATGCCTGGAAAAATAAAAGTTAAAGTTTTAGCTGGACGCAACTTGCCGGTAATGGACCGAGCAGGTGATACGACTGATGCTTTCGTAGAGATCAAATTTGGAGGTATTACCCACAAGACTGATGTCTGTCGGAAGTCTTTGAACCCCCATTGGAGTAGTACTGAGTGGTATAGATTTGAGGTAATATTTTTATTTATGTAAAAGTATTGTTTACAATTTTAAAAATCTTGATGTAATATCATTTAAATATTATGGTTTGTTTATTTAATTTCAAGAGGATCATCAGTTTTTCCTGGTTCCTGTTTATATTAATAGGGAATTATATTACTATGATAATGATATCTTTAAGACTGATTTTGTTCCATATATTATTCAATGAGCATAATATGCACGATAATAATATGATATAACATAATAATGCATGAATATAAAGCTATTAATTTTTCTTAATGTACAACATTGATACAAATTATAGACTTTGTACAAGTTGCATAATTTAACTTGAAAACGTAATAACCAACTTCAAAGTACTAAAATGCTTATGATATAATCATTGAAATTGGTGACATGGTAAAGAATTATTTGCCTACATCTTGTAGATGTAGATGTATTTGTAAATTGAAGGGTTTTATGATTTTCTCATGGATCCATCATTGGATCTTGAATAAATTTTTATGGTAAGTATCACACTTCTTAAGAAAAAAACATTGAAATCCAACAATGTGCTGAAGAACTCATAATAACTAGTTATTACTATTGCTGAACTTATAATATAAAAAAATATTCCCAGTAATAGAGATCCTCCTCAAAGTCAGTTGAAAAGTAATGATATAGACTTTATATATGTCTCTACTAGACAGACCTTTCATGTCTGAGAAGCTCCTTGTTTTTTTTAAAAGTCTGTTGAAAAGTTATAATTATGTTTTTGTGTGTCTCTGCTGGGCATAGACCTCTCATTTCGGGGAACCTCCTTCTTTATTTGAAATTTGGTTGAAAAGAGTGTTACTTTGATAACATGATCAGACTATTTGTGATATTTATGTATGAATCAATGTTATTTTCCTAATTCCTCAACAAATGATCACATTGATGATGCTTAATTAACTTTGTAGATAATCTTTTGCTTGACTAAGGAAATATATATAATGCAAGAAAATCCATCTTTTTTTTTTGTCATTCTGACAACACTTATTGTAACGCGGTTTACATTCTTTATTGTTCAAATTAATTGAAAAAAGTTCACTCTAATTGGTTTAACACAATGCTATACAAGTTTATTGACACTGTATTTAGAAAATGAACTCGAAACAGTCACGTTAAACAAGATTTTAATGATTAAATGTGTGGAGTGTTTAGTTATATCAACCGCTCGCTAAAAATTATGGGACATATATGTCCCATAATTTATATATATATATATGTTTAGGCCCAAAAATGGTCATGAGACGGCTTCCAATCGCCTTTGACTTAGCAAATCACCCGATGGTGTCGAGGTGAGGTAACGCCGACGGCGGGGGGGGGGGGGGGGGGGGCGAGTGTGCCAGCTCCGGTGATTCCGGTGCTGGGCTAAGAGCAGTGTGACCATATGTGGCAGATTCCTGCCATTTTGGCAGGATTAGCTTCTTATTTTAGCCTGTAGCATGATCGGTTGACATTTTATAAAACCTGGCAGTATTTGGCAGTATTGGGGTATTAAAAATATATTTCTATATGGCAACTTAAAATGACGAAAATGGCAATCCTAGATACTTCGCCAGCATGTTGGCGATTTCACTGTTTTTCTCGATTTCTCGTATTATGCTTGTATCACATTCAATAAACAACTTTAAAAAATTTGTCTATAAAGTTGATAATCTTAACACGAGTTGGTTAATATTTTAATTAGTCATAAAAGAGACGTACTTTAGTATGGTTTAGAATTAGATTTCATTATCACCATGAAATCTTGTTTATAATATTTCGTGGACGATAGTAATTATAAGTGGCGGTGATGAAGCGAAAATAAGAAAGGGCGTATAGAGCGAAGTGGAAGCAAAATCTTTTATTTTCATCATGGATCTGTGTTACCGCAAATTGGCATCCCGGCTGTCCGCTTAAAGGAGCATGCCGCTACTAGTAAACGTCACGTGAAAGAATATTCTCTAAAATAAATTTAATTAAGACAAAAACACGAAACAGATTTATAAACAAACATTTAGCGTCTATATTGTACGTTAAACAAGCATGGCGATTGCATTGCGTTCGAACCAACAAAAGATGTGTTTAATTTTAATTTAAAAATATAGCATTTAAATGTGTATTTTGACTTTTCTTCGTTTAATACAATGGTAAATAAAGTTGGCAGTATTTAGGCATTTTTCATTACAGATTTTGGCAGGATTTGGCAGGTTTTTAATCAAAGTATGGCAGGATCTGTATTTTAAAAATGGTCACACTGGCTAAGAGAGACAGTAGCTCGAAGACAGCGGTGCGGGCCATTAGCGTATTTTGGTGACCGCTGCAGATGTTTCGCGCGACCGGTTTTTTTGGGTTATGGTCTAGATTTTTAGAATTTGTGCGCGTTACTTCGCTACTGAATTGTGATTTCGTGAAAACCGCCTCGGTTTAGTTTGTCTAAGTTGTAAGTTCGTGACAAGAGGCTTGTATTGTATTTGACGGATTAAAGTAATTTCGTTTTAAAGTAATTGCGCCAATTATATAGTGATTGTGTGTTGAAGTGAATTTTGCAATATTTAACTTGCTTGTGTGACGTGGAATCTTGCGCGCGCGCCGAGTAGAGATACGGTCTGGAATTTGAACCGCGCATTCCATTTCGAGGGCGTCGCCCGGTTGATTGTTTTGGAAATCATTGTTTAACTGTGCCGTCGCGTTAAGAGCCTTTTGGGTGTTGACTCTGTAGCTAGTTTGCTCGTCAGCTAGGTTGATTTTGAATTCTTATTGCGGCGTAGTATTTAATATCGTACAAGGAGTTTTGTTGTTGTTTGTAACGCTGAACTTTGTGACTCGTGAAGAGATCGCGTTAGTTTCCTATTTGTAATTTGGTGATAAATGAATCCGGAACTTTGAATGTGGAACTTTGAACTACTGTTCGTTACTTGTGTCGGGTATCACGTATTTGATTTTACGATGAACGTGGAATTAGTTGCGTTGAAGTTAGTTAAATGTACAATAAAGTCGATAGACTGAAATAGTAACATGAAGAAAGAAATTGTCCATTGGTGACGCCTGCTGGAGTGATGCAGCATTGTGGGGCAGCATGGGACCAGGCCGCTGCCGGTCACCTCAGCTGGGCCAGGTCACATAAATATACACACCACTAAAACACCACTCACACGCACCTACACCTACCTACGACCTGACCGAGCCTTGGGGCGGTCTTAGCTTCGGATCCAGGTACGTACTATTTATTTACCTAGCCCTCTCCCTATTGTGTAGTATGATAGGTCAACTGTCCATAAGGCCATTTGGGCCCGAACCCTCGGCTGCCCGTCGAGGAGGCTACTATGGGCCCTAGCCAAGGCGACCTTTACAGGGGCAGCCGGGGGCCGTAACAATATATATATGTGTGTAATGTTGTTATGTACAAGTACAGATTTCTGTAATGATTTATGTTTACGAGAACACTACACACCTAGTAGAAATTAGTTTTTACTTTATTTTTTATTAAATCACAACCCAAGCATAAAACTGCAAGACTTCAAGGTACTATAAGCTCACTCTGCATAGATCAAACCAAAAATTAATAATTTTAAACTGAGGGTAGACATTGGGGCGTCGAACACCTCAGTTCCCCATGTTCATGGGTTCTGTAAAGTACTGAAAACGTCGGAAGTATAAAATAAGTTAATATACGCAATTAAAATCCGTAAAATTTTGTTTTAGCGGAGTTGATGCGTGTGTGATGTATCATCGTTAATATTTCATTTTCTACGACAGATATATACCATAACAGATTGGACTAATAAGCTTCTACCTATTCTGTTGATCAAATGATAATGAACTAAAAATAAATAGTTACGAGTATTATGAGCCTCATTCAGAAAATTGTTAACATAATTGCAGTAAGTGGTACAAATTTACCCCAGTTAAGTTTGTCCATTCTTGTCACGAAATTGTTTTAGGTACCTAATAAAAGTATCTATGTGGTTTTGTTTGTATTTTTGGTTATGCAAATGATTGCAAACAAGAACACACTCTACCTAATGGTAAAAATTACCTGGACTGAAAATTAAGAGGCAAAATAAATGTTTTGACATCCCTAAAGTCTAAGATAATAATAATAATTCATTTATTTCGGACAAAAAATATCCATATTTGTTAGTAAAGGTGAGATGATGAATATAAGATGGAATGCCTCATTACCTAAGGTAGGTAATATAAAACAAAGAGGAAGTCATTTGGCTTGCCCGAAGTGTAGGTCTGGCCCTAGGTGGCCGCTCTGAGTGGCCTTGTCTAGCCTACTCTGGATGCGCGTCGATGCACCGTGGCGGGAGGTGTGTCCCCTGCCCCTTCCCGTCGCAGCCGAGGTGAAGCCGCGCGGGCAGATGAGTGTTGGTATGGCGATGCATCACTCGCCCTATGCTCCGCGTATCTATAGGGGGCCGTACCTTTGATGCGGTGGTGGTGGTAACCTCTGCGGCCAAACCAGATCCGCCGCTGGGATTAGGAAAGCTCATGCTGCCGAGTGTTCGCTTGTTCCTAATACCATCTCCTCTTCGTTTCGGGCTCGGGGGTGTCTTATGGTGCGCCTTACCTGAAAAGGAAAATGGGGAGAAAAAGTGCTCACCATGAGGTTTTAGTCGGTGCAAGTCCGACATAATCCGTCCTTGCCACCGCCAGGCGGGTATGTCGGTATTTCTCCATGTAAAAGGTATTATTCGCATAGGCTTTCCTAAAAGATTGCTTCATAGGAGGGATATTTACTATAGTTGCCACACGACAGGCGGGTTACAGCTGCGGTTTTCTTTATTATTATTAAGTTACGAGTATCAAGATCCTGCTTCTCATCTCTTGATTTGTTCTCTCTGTCGCCTCTTACGAAACCCGCGGAATGATATGGCAAAACAAATTAGGAGATAGACAGCAGTGTCTTCCTTATAATAACTAGAAAATAAAAACTGTGGTTTTTTTATAGGATAAGGGTGACAAGCGAGCACACAGTCCACCTGACGGTAAGTGGTTGCTGTGGTCCATAGACATCTACATTTATCCTCGATTACGAGTCAAAATGCAGATGCGTTGTCACCCGTGAGGACTAACATGGATTGCCTCGTTTCCAGTAGGGGTCGTAGGGATTTCTAAAAGGGTCTCCGGTTCTCTACACTCACCATACGAAACACAGCAGCATTAAGCTGCTATATTACGCTGGTATTCTATGAGAGCGTGGTCCTTCCCCAGTCGAGCCGACCCATTCGTGTTACAACTATACCAGAAATATAGCTGCAGCATGGCTCTACCATAGAATATCTACCAGGCAAATATCCTCCCTATGAGGCAGTCTCTGAGGAGCCCTATGTTCAGGAGTGGACTTTTAATAAGCTGTAACGGTAACGGTAAATCATTTTACATCTAAAACAATAGTTGCTGCAACAGCTTAGAGCTTTGTAAATTGAAACAAAAACAAATACAGCAATAAAACCCCAAAATAACTCAAAATACGATCAGAAATGTTTTCAAGGCCATTTTTTTCGTTGATAAACTCCATCTCTTGGCTGCGACGCGAGCCGTGTGTGTTATTTTCGCGCCCATGTCTACCGAACGTCTGCTTCTCGTAAGTTTATTTCGGATTTGATGGACAATACTATTAAATTTAAGGTGTTAATTGATTTCGAAGACTTCGTAGTATATATAGAAATCTTTTTTTTTATTTACATATAATCTAGACTACAAAATAAAAAACTATAATAAAAAAAAACTAAAATTAATAACTTAATTATCATACAGTCTTACTCCCCGTGGTATCGTGCCAAGTACGCTGGCTGCATTTCCTCGCTGAATGGCTATCTTAGCCTCTAAGCGAGAAAAAAACCAGCCCTTTTATCACTGACCGATAGTCTCTACAGTAAGAGGCACAAATATGTAGTCATCTCTCAGAGACTCATATTTGCGCCACTTAGTTCAGCTGCCTCTAATGCCGCTCCGGCTCTAAACGAAGTACTCCTGAGATAGGGTTGCCACCCGTACTATAATATATAGCATCGTACTATATTTCAGTCAATTGTACTATGTACGAGTATATATTATAGTAAAATAACATACACAATATATTTTTATCCCGAATTCAAATGTTGCGCTTTTTTATATTAACTGTGACTGGAAGTCTGGAACAAGTAAGTTTTACGGAAAGAATATTTTCCGTCATGAATGTAAAATGGAAATGGAAAGAAAGAAATAGACCATGTATTAATTTAATTAAAAATGAATCATTAATTAATTTATTTTAATATGAATCTAAATTGTTTAGATTCCTATGATTATTTTAAAGATAACATAGATCATTGATGGCCAAAATGAAGAGCAATAACAAATATACGTATATGGAAAAATACATATTAGATGAAAAATAAATGTGTACCTTTTATTTCCTGAAATTCCCAAAAGTACTATATTTTTGCATTTTTTTTTGGAAAAAATACTATATTTGATCAAAAAAAGGTGGCAATCCTACCCTGAGATGGGAGGCCGCTAAAATGTCTATGCAAGTAGCATCCCACACTAGGGCTTTATCTAATCTTTGATTGGAGTAATATCATGCAAATGGTGTTAAAGCTTTGTATAAACTAGTGTAACGTTTAAAATATATCTATTTCATCAGGCTGTCAAAGTCAAGTGGCTTTCTATGGGGAGACCTACTGGGGAGATTCATTTGACGGTTCCGTGATGGCGACGGAACAAGTATTTGTATGGCCTACAAATGATTGTTCCGAGTCTGGATGTTTGTACATGTGATATTTACGTATGTAAACTGCCTCCACGATAAAGGAGATCCTAGTATGGGGTTAAGTAATGTTTTTTTTTAAAAAACGGAGTAAGTTGAGCAGTGGACTTTTATTGGGTTGTGAAGAATTAATGAATGAAAATGTAATCTCAACTCAGCCAGAGATACCACAGCAATCGATTGACGCCATTGGTCAACGATCAATATGTTGGCGTGGTAACATCCTTATCAGCAGTCCTTCTTTGCTGGCCGTATGAGGAAGCTCAAAGTCGCTCAGCGAGCTATGGAGACGGCTATAATCGGCGTTTCTCTGTGCGATAGACTTAAAAACGAGGATATCCGCAGTAGAACCAGAGTAACCGACATAGTCCAAAGAATTAGTATGCTGAAGTGGCAATGGGCCGGCCATATAGCTCGAAGAACCGACAACCGATGGGAAACAAAGGTTCTCGAGTGGCATCCTCGTACCGGCAGGCGAAGTGTAGGGTGTCCGCCCCACTAGATGGAGTGACGACCTGGTAAGACATGCAGGAAGTAAATGGATGCAGGTGGCTCGGGACCACGCTTTGTGGCATTCCTTGGGCTTATAGGCCGCTCTATGTTCAGCAGTGGACTTGTGAAGGGCTGTAATGATGATGATGAACATCCTTACCCAGCCGGTAGCTGCGTCAACGGTGTGAGACGTCTGGCAACGCAATCAACAATCCGCCTGCCAAATGAGACTATTAAGGGAATTTCTCCCTACAACGGGAAAGGACCAAGTCCAGCTGTGGATTTTTACGGGAAGATAGATGAAAGAAAAAGTTTTAATAAACAATAAAAGCCAACATCAAAGAACTAAAAAAAGAATGAATGAATTTAAAATTTTGAAGTAGGAGCTTTAGTTTTATTTAACCAGAGTCTAGTCTATTCTTAGCACCAACTTTAGAATGTGAAATTATTATTTTTTTAGTTCTTTGATATCGGCCTTTTATTATACGAAACTTTTTAACTCTTGAGAGGACTTATCATCCAGTCAAAAGAGTACAAGATCACAGTCTCAATGTCTTCTAAATTGTTACATTAGAACTTCAAATAATTTCCACTGCTGAGCGTAGTCTTCCCCCATAGATTGCTTCATGGGGGGGGGGGGGGGAGATTTTTGCAATAGTTGTCACGCTCGGCAAGCGGATTTGCAACCGTAGTTTTTTTATTTTTAGTCGTAATTAAGAAGACGCTGCTTCTCCTGATTTGTTTCCCTCTGTCGCCTCTTACGACACCCACGGGATGATATGGGGTAGTGGATATTCTTACGCCGTCTTTTACTCTTTAAATGGTAAAAGTAAATAATTTATGTGTCTTTACTGAACAATGTTACAGGTTGACGAATCGGAACTTCAAGATGAGCCTCTACAGTTAAGACTGATGGACCACGATACGTACTCGGCGAACGACGCGATCGGCAAGGTCGTTATAAGCCTAGCACCCCTCCTCGCTAGAGAGGCTAACAATGCGAAGGGAACGGGAGGTCCGCCTGGAGGTAAACTTAATCTGTCTAATTACAAAACGTAGTTTATTTATTATTTTATTAATTAAACTGAAACTACGGTTTAAAGTCTGATTTTACGTTTTACAAGAGGTTTTACGTGGTGTAACCACGTTGTAGCTATGCCAGCTATATAACCGGGGAAGGACCACGCTCTCACAGAATACCAGCGTGAAACAACCAGAATTATGTTGCTGTTTCGTATGGTGAGTATAGGGAACTGGAGACTTTTATTACTGGTAACAAGGCATCTGCATTTTAATTCTTAATCGAGGATAGATGTGCTGTCAAATTCCATGCTTCCATTTTAGTTCGCATATTCCACGGGACTTCTTTTTTGAAACAGACTCTAGTTTAAACCTTTTAACTTACCTTATAAATACTTTCCGTAAAATGGCACACAGACACAACTTTCAACTTCTACACTGTTTTTCTTACATATTTTGTATGCAAGCTGATAAAAAAATACTTTGATGTTGTGTCTTGTTGTAGTTTATCAAATACTAATGCTTCAAGCAAGTAAAAACATGCAAATTCTTTGTATTTTAGAAAAAAGTAGTCGGTTTCTATATTCCGGGAATCCGGGGTGAAAAGAAACGACATAGGGATGAATAGAGAAAAAATGCTAGGGTTGTCAAATGAAAGAAAACATAACTACATCAAAATTGTCATTATAAAAAATAATTCGTTAATAAATCTGATATTTATACAATTCCATAGTATATAAATTAAAAATATCAGAGTAATGTAATTTAACTGCTTTGCAGCGTAAGCATTTCCGACATAAAGCCATTAGATAAATAAGCCACTGCTTACATAGTTTTGAACATCTTTTTTAAGTAATGAAAATAAAAATAAAAAAAATATTTCTAAGTTTGTTAAACTATATTACACTAATTATAATACTACGTGTTTTGATTAATAACCTTTGGTTGTTTTAAGTTGTAGGTAACAAGACGAGATTAAAAATCACTATTACTTATTTATAAAATTATGTAAGCACTAAACATAAATTGATATAATATCGCGACTTGAAGCTGATAACTCGCGTTACACCTATTCCGCACCGCCTAGATACTTTTTTAATTCGTATACCGAGCATCTCCGTTAAACAATAAAATACAAATATAATTAATGATATATTTACCTACTAGATAGAACTAAATCATTAGCGCACACTAAGTATATTTACTGCAGGTACTTCTACCTGGTGTAATGGTAAAACCTCAAGTATTTGGAATTTTAATGTATAACATATATCAAAATTTAACATTTATAATAGAAGACTTTTAAATGCTTGTAATATGGTTTAAACTATTTTTTTAATTTTAGTTTCAATTAGCTACTTAAATTAATTTTTGTAGTAAGTAAAAGGTGCAAATAGTTTTTGACAACCCTAAAAATCATGTTTCTATTAACCCCTTTTACGTTTCTAATAACCCTTCATTCGTATCTATTCACCCCTTTCTTCGTTTCTATTAACCCCAATGGCGTTTTTATTCACCCCTCAGTCGTATCTATTCACCTCGAATTCGAGAAAAAATACCAGTATCCTGATTTTACTATTTAAAAGAATAAAATCGTTCAATATCGATATTCATATTTGTAATAATAATAGATGAGAACCTCAACTCCCTAAAAAAACAATTTGCAACAAGGAAACACTGAAGAAGTTGATGTTTAACTAAAAGTTTTACACAGCAAAAAATCACTTGTACTCACACTTTTATAATAATCGCCCTTTTCTTTACTGCCATCAAAATTCACTAATTTAAAGGTTAAATAGTTAAAGGGAAAATATTGGCAAATAATAAACAGTAGTAATAAACAGGCGTTCCCGAGCAGTAGATAAACCTAGAGACAACTTTATCAAATAACCAGACTTGTGTCTATTCACCCCGCGATTTCTATTCACCCCATTTTACGGTTTTAAATAAGTCGGATTATCTTTTAAAAGACATCGGCCTCTTCTGCACGAGTAGTATTGGCATAATCGCCAGGCTTGGTAGGCCGATTGGCGACCTTTGACACTGCTCCTCGTCCGGGTATTTTACATCTGACATATTATCCTATATGTTTCTACTGCTATGACTTTTCCTTGCATTATCCTTAGTCAGTTGTTCCGACACCAAAGGGGTAATGAATTCTTTTATTTCGCTGGTACACGGCGCAAGGTTAATATAATATAAATATATAATAATTTATAAATAGAATGATGAACACGCTTCTTTTACATGGGTTTTTATTATTAACTGGCTGGTACCCGGCTCGTTGCTGCCACAGAAAAATTTTTGTGGAAATATCGTTTTAAATTTGGAAGGGTAATATTGTTTAATTAGGAATGATATATGACTCAAATAGCCAATAATAGCAAGCCATAAGTTGACAAAATTTTAGCGCAGTCTGATAAACGGTATGGCAGCGCATAAAATACGAACAAACAAAAATTATTTTTATATCAGATTGAACACAGCAAATATGCGCTCTGTGAAGGTTGCAGTCTGTGAACACGTACTGGATCGCTCCCCGCCATTACATGAGATTTGATAGACCAGAAATCCACGCAAAACAACACTGATTCGCGAATCTATTAAAATCCAAAAACATCCTAATTTCAATAGACATGATGATCGGTTTAGGGAATGTAAAATTTTTTCGACTTTACATTTCGAGTGTTGTATTGTCAAAAATTTCTTTTAAAATTATTATGCATTTCCATAAACCACTTTAAGCATGTAACTTAGTTTCGAAATAAAAGCGCGGTGATAATACACCTTCTAGAGGCGGTGTAAGAATATCAACTAGGTACCTAATATTGTCACGTGGGTGTTGTAGGAGGCGACAGAGGAACACAAACCAGAAGATAGGCAACAGCGTCTTTCTAATAACAACTAAATAAAATAATAATTGAGACTATAAAAAAATCGGATCGGACGCTGTAACCAAATTCTGTGTTTCCAGGAGCTGTAATGTCCGGCTGGATCCCGGTGTTCGACACAATGCACGGTATCCGAGGGGAGTTGAATGTTATCGTCAAAGTGGAACTGTTTTCTGACTTCAACAAGTACAAGACGTCCAGTTGTGGTGTACAGTTTTTTCATTGTAAGTTAAACAAAAAAAAAAAACAATTAAATGACTAATACTTCTGCTAACCACACCTGGTAAGCTTAAAATGCTTGTGTTGCGCGATATTAGTCGAACGGCGGATATTAACGCCACTTCTCAAATTGAAAAATTCCCCGTTTTTTGGTCAATCATATTGACGAATCAGATTTCCTTTATAATACCTTTCATTCATTCCATTCATTCCGTTTTGCGACCGACAACAGGGTAGAAGAGGAGTCTAAGTAAAAACACCGGATGCCGCACGCGGAAGTATATTGCTATATTGTGACACGCTCGTTATATTATCTATTTAATTATCATACACTTAAAATCACGGCCGTGAATTGTATCAAATAAGTGTAAATCGTGCAAGAAAACTAGAAGTGTACCACGTGAGTGTCAACCTCAAGTACGAAGAGTAATTACTATTAAAGTCCACTTTATACCAATTTTAAAACTCATTACCAGCGGATTCGAATCCACGCCCTTTGAGTTTCACAGTCAGTATCCTTAACCATTTCACTACTGTCATTAGTATCGAGCCATTTTCTATGTCTTGTAACTTATTTATTATATATTTTAATTCATACGTTTTGTTCTAGGTCCCATGATACCGCCTGGATACAGAGCAGCGGCCATCCATGGTTTCGTTGAGGAGCTGATCGTAAACGACGATCCCGAGTACCAATGGATCGACAAGATCAGGACGCCGCGGGCCTCAAACGAGGCCAGGCAGGTTGCCTTCATCAAACTGAGTAACCAGGCGAGTTTCCTTTTCGACCCGTACATTTAAACACCTCTAAAAACATAATGGAGAAGGTATTTAAGCATTTTTCGCTTACCAAATGTACACAATAAGGTCTTCATATACATCACAGTTCTCCATGGTGGCATTACACCGGAGGCGTGGAGCAGAAGTGCGGTGGTCTTGTTCTTCAAGAAAGGCGACAACGCTCTCTTGAAGAACTACAGACCGATTTCCCTTCTGAGCCGCGTCTACGTGCTGTTTTCGAGAGTCATTACGAATCGTCTCGCGCGCAGACTTGACGACTTCCAGCCCCCCGAACAAGCCGGTTTCCGAAAAGGCTTTAGCACCATAGACCACATACATACCCTTCGGCAAATTGTACAGAAGTCCGAGGAGTACAATTTGCCACTATGTCTGGCGTATGTGGACTATGAGAAAGCCTTTGATTCCGTCGAAATTTGGGCGGTGCTGCAGTCCCTTCAGCGATGCCAAGTTGACTGTCGGTATATCGAAGTGTTGAAGTGCTTGTACAGTAGGGCTACGATGGCTATCCGAGTACAGAACCAGAGTACGAAACCTATCCAATTGCAGAGAGGTGTAAGACAGGGTGACGTCATATCCCCGAAACTCTTTACCGCTGCATTGGAAGATGTTTTCAAGCTTCTGGACTGGAAAGGATACGGTATCAACATCAATGGCGAGTACATCACTCACCTTCGATTTGCCGACGATATAGTCCTTATGGCAGAATTGCTGGAGGACCTAAGCACTATGCTCAATGACCTCAATAGTGTTTCTCAACGGATAGGTCTTAAGATAAACATGGACAAAACAAAGATCATGTTTAATGTCCATGTCACACCTATGCCGGTAGTTGTTGGGAACACTAAGCTCGAAGTTGTTGACGAGTATGTTTACCTGGGACAAATAGTCCGACTAGGTAAGTCCAACTTCGACCGAGAGGTCAATCGACGGATTCAACTCGGTTGGGCAGCGTTCGGGAAATTACGGCACATCTTCTCGTCAGGTATACCTCAAAACTTGAAAACGAGACTGTACACCCAGTGCGTGTTGCCAGTGATGACATACGGAACTGAGACGTGGTCCTTCACTGCTGGCCGGGTGAGGAAGCTCAAGGTCGCTCAGCGAGCTATGGAGAGGGCTATGCTCGGAGTTTCTCTGCGTGATAAACTCAGAAATGAGGATATCCGCAGTAGAACTAGAGTGACCGACATAGCCCAACGGATTAGTAAGCTGAAGTTGCAATGGGCCGGCCATATAGCTCGAAGAACCGACAACCGATGGGGAAGAAAGGTTCTCGAGTGGCAGCCTCGTACCGGCAGGCGAAGTGTAGGGCGTCCCCCCACTAGATGGAGTGACGACCTGGTAAGATATGCAGGAAGTCGATGGATGCAGGTGGCTCAGGACCGTGCTTTGTGGCATTCTTTGGGGGAGGCCTATGTTCAGCAGTGGACTTGTGAAGTGCTGTAATGATGATGATACATCACAGTTGGTACTTATTATTTAGTAGAAATAGACATATTATAAACTGGCTAATTAACAAAAATTTTATTGAATAAAATAAAATAATTTAAATTAAGATATTTAAAGTAAAGAAGATTTAAATATATATATATAAGATACTAGCTGGTATACATACATTCAAACTTAATGGCGGCTCGGAACATCGTACGTTCCGATGCGCAGAACACAATTTTTGGGTATCAGCGGGATGTAGAGGGACGTGGTGGCGGGGCACATCCCCGCATTCTGTCTCATACGCACACACGCGACGCGTTTGCTTTTAGTGTTTGAGTTAGGTTCACTCCTGCTTACGTACAGTTGAGCCCATAATTTGTTACTGTTTGTTAATTGTTTTGTTACGTTTTTTTGTTTGTTTTTGTTCCGTTAAGTTTTTATTGTTATTGACTGTTTTGTTTTGTTTTCATCTGTGTGTTACACACATTAAGGTTTAGACTGTTGTTGGTTGTGGGAAAGTACTTTTATTATTTTGTTTAAATATGCCACGCGGACGATACAACATTTTACGCAGGCAAGCCAGAAAAATGGTGTATAATGTCGTGCAATTTATGAAAAAGGAGAGTGAAGACGGCGTCCAAATTCCTCTGAAGCTCGTTCAAAAACGAGCCGCAGCAGCTACAGGCGTCTCACTAAGGACTGTACAAAGAATAGCTGCAACAGCAAATGAGTCGGAGATGCTAGCCGTCTTTCGTACTCCTGGCAAAAAAAGGATCTTAATTCATCTGTATTTTTCTTCCTTGAACCCTCCTCATACTTGCTAACTGACATTTATGTACATATGTACAGAACTTAAAACACAAAACTTTCAGTTATTAAAATAATTAAATTGAGCCTAAATTTTTGTCAACTTGACTGTACCTGCGCACACCTGCACTCGCAGCTAACTTCCGAACCGCCATTAAGTTTGAATCGAGCTGTACGATAAGCGTTGCTGCCGCAAAATAAATAATTGTAGAAATATCACTTTAAATTTGAAAGCGTTATATTGTTTAATTAGGAATGATAATATATTAATTGAAATTGAATATATATATATATATATATATACATATATAATAACTTGCAAATAAATTAGTCAGTTCGATACGCGCGCCACCTACTGTAAGTTTATTGTACTATGCAGTTTATTGTTTATTGCCTATAACTTTCTTTTTTATATAGGACTAGATGTTCCCCGCGACTTAGTCCGCGTGAATTTAGGTTTTTAATTTTTTGCGCGGAACCCTACTTCTTTTTCCAAAACAAAAGCAGCCTAAGTTATTCTTTATAACATCAGCTGTCTGCCAGTGCAAGTCACATGAAAATCGGTCCAGCCGTTTCGGAGATTAGCCGGAACAAACAGACAGCTGGACAGACAGACAGACAGACAAAAGTTTTTGAAATTGTGTTTTTATTATAAGTTCCATATATACTTTCATATGCATTTAGTGAAAAGCTGTTATTTTGACGTTACAAACAGACACTTCAATTTTATTTAGTTGTAATCTAGATAAGGGTGACAAGTGAGCACACAGTCCATCCGATGGTAAGTGGTTGCTGTGGCTCATAGACATCTACATCTATCTTCGTTTGCGAATAAAATCCAGATGCGTTGTCACCCGTGAGGACTAAAATGGAATGCCTCTTTTCCAGTAAAAAGGGTCTCCGGTTCTCTACACTCACCATACGAAACACAACAGTTCTAAGCTGCTATTTAACGCTGGTATTCTGTGACTGCGTGGCCCTTCCCCGGTCGAGCCGATCCATTCGTGCTACAACTATACTATTAATATAGCTGTAGCATGGTTTTACCACGTACATATCTCTGCGCCAGTAACTGACAAAGTTTTAGCTAAATTTGATAAATGGTATGGAAACGCATAAAATACGAACAAACAAACAAACATTAATATTTATATATAAGATTTGAAAGTGTTAGTATTCATATAATAACATTTTTTTTTACTTATTATAAGCCAGTGCTTGACCACAATCCCACCCGGTGGTAAGTGGTGATGTCCCTAGATGGTAAATCGCACTGTCTTATCGTAACAAAAGCCTATTCACTCTTGCCGTGAAGACGCCCAGATTGTATTCGGACGGTATTTAAAAATATAAGAAAAATAATCCAGCAGGAGGGGAATTGAGCTTCGAAAAGGTGGCCAAAACTGACCCACCTTTTCTATATGGATGATGTCAAATTATTCGCCTTCAGTGATTTCTATCTTATGGGATTGCTAGACGTCACGTGTGATTTAATAATAAATCCTTTATTTCGACCAACAATAGTCATAGATTGTTAGTAAAACTTACTTAGCCTAATGTTAGTATAAAATAAAATAGAAGTTAATATTAAAATGTTAGTCAAAAAAGTACTTATCCTATATTAGTAGCTTAACCTAACCCCAGCCTCACATAACGAACTCCAGGTGGGATTCTCCTGGTGCTGGTGTGTGCACAATTCCAAGCCCTCCAGAGCGGGCTATCCAGCTTCACAGCCAATGCGCTGAGAAGGGTGTTGGATTTGAGTAATTCTATCAGAATGGAGCTGGGGTCGGATAAGTGTGCGGTCCTCCATCTTGAAATGACCAGAGTCGCTAACTAAACTAAATATAACCAAACTAAAATATAATTAAATAGGTAATCTAGAAATAAAAAAATCAATGACTGATATTGCTGTGATTGATCGCTCGGGTACGCGAGCAACCCGGGTTCGATTCCCGCTGACACCAATGAAATTGTTCATTGTAAATTTCAGTGCTGATTTATATATATTTTATAAATTATATATTATATTGTTCCAGGTACAACGGCTAGTGGGATTAAAAGCGGCAGAATTGGGCGCCAACGCAGTGGTGGGCTACCAGCAGGACTTCGACTTGGAGGGAGAGGCCGGCGTTGTAGCGAGGGCCATCGGTAAAATGCGATACCCTTTTATTTTATAAAATTACGTTTAAAATTATGAAATTTAGTCTTTTACACCTGTGAATACAAAAGCAAAAAGTGATATAAATTCATTTTGTTATTACTAAGAACAAACCAACAGTTACTGACCTCCACATTATAACGACTCAACAACGTATACAACAAAGTCCCAGAAAATATACGAATGACTATCACAATATTAAAAAAAATACATTGTAAACTAAGGATTTCAAAATGGTAATTATAATCTAAATGTTAATATGTAAAGAGAAAACCTTGTACCCTTTTTAAACATATTAGAGCAGTGTGAGATTAGAAATTAAGAAGATTATAGTTGTGAAGTAGAGAAGCACAAAAATCTAAGATTTATATATAATAGTATGTGTTACAAAGACATAAAATAAAATAAAACATTCATTATGTCCATACTGCCAACGTCAAACAAAAAAAATAGCCTATCATTTGCTTACGTTCATACTGTCAATGTTAAACACTTAATAATCTACGATGAAACAGTAGCACAGAGTAGGGATTGACGCCAAAGAATTTTAAAATATTGCCAACATAATAATTGCTTACAGATTGACTGAATGAGCCATGAATTTTGTGATTTCTAATGTTCCTTTTTCTTGTTGGCATTTTATGTTACGGGTTGGCATGCATGCATTATAGCACTTTCTCACAAGTCCAATGCTGAACACAGGCCGCTCCAGGGGGACATTGTTGCTACGCTTTACAGATGGGTTTGCTACCGTAGTTTTTTTTTTGTTATATTTCTGATGATATGGAGTAGTGGATTCTCTTACGCTACCTCTGCACGGCAAAATGAATATAAATTATGAATTTTATTTAATCTATGTTGAATAATTATTTATTAATCATATCTTGTTCCATTTTATAATGATTTCTGAGGGCACGGCAGTGCCCCCGCCAAGTCGAGCAAAAAAGCGGCACGGCCGTACCATCTTTTTCTCGAAGCAGTTCAGCCCATTTTCGAAACCCTATTTCGAAACTTTGTGGTGGATAAAACTAGAAGCCTAAATTTTCAGTAACCAAGTAGGCATTGTATAAACTCGGTATATTTCAAATTTCATTAAATTTGAACCAGTAGTTTAAGAATTATAACTAGCCAAAGTTTCTTAGTTTTGTCACTCACTGACTGATCGATCATCAAAACTCTAAGGCACTTCTAGCAGACATAGAAGCTTCAAATTAGGAATACTATTATTGCTTTCTATATAAATCAAGGAAAAACTAAAATATTTTGCAATTTCGGTCCAATTTTCGAGATACACCAACTGCATAAATAACTTTGTAATCCCATATAAATATATAGGATTACAAAGTTACATTTGCTGCGAATGAATCAGTGTACCTATATATGTATAATATAATGGAATAATAGGTGCATAGGTACCTAGATATAATTATCTACAAAAAGAAATGAGATGCCGTCAAAAACATAACTTGTAAAAAAACCAAGTCTCGCAACTCAGTTCTTCTACAGTAAAAAGTTGTGAGATCCATGTAATACCAAGTCGGTTAATTTATTCAGTCCCTACTTAAGGGTCCTTCTGTCTTAAGTTATTACGTAATTAGCTAACCTAACAACATCTTATAGTGACCATATCAATATTATGTTTTAAATAAATAAATTGACTTGGCAATCTTGGCATTTTCCACAGGCACTGCCGTCAGCATAACGCCTCTACCGACACCAAGTCAACCCATTAACATACCACCATGTTCGCAACAGTGAGTATTTTCTTTTAAATTTGAACCTTACCTATACAAATAAATAAAATTGAAGTGTCTGTTTGTAATGTCAAAATAACAACTTTTTACTAAATGCATATGAAACTATATACGGTACTTATAATAAATACACGGTAAATAAAACACAATTTTTAAAAATTTTGTCTGTCTGTCTGTTTGTTTCGGCTAATCTCCGAAACGGCTGGACCAATTTTAACGAGACTTTAACTGGCAGATAGCTTATATTATAACGAGTAACTTAGGCTACTTTTATTTTAGAAAAACATTTAGGGTTCCGCACAAAAAAATTAAAACCAAATTACACGCGGGCGAAGTCGCGGGGTACAGCTAGTTTTACATAAAATAAAAAAGTATAAATATGACTATACATATATAGAAGTACCTATTGAATATCGTTTATCTTATTATAAGTATGTTACTTTGAGAATACAATATTAAATAATTTATTTTTTGATTGGTCACTAGCGGGTTAAGCGTTTGGCTGCGGATCGCGGGTTCGACTCCTGCCCAGGACAGATATTTTCAGGCTTATAAATAATTGTCCTTTTCGAAAAATTGTTTTAGGTTCTGGATGCATGTCTATTAAAATAGATATACCCACAGTGGGGATTGAGTATTATATAGAAATACACTGTAAATAAATAAAATGGCTATTTTTCCAAAATAGAAAAGGATCTGTGTCCTATATTAGATAATTTACGAGGTGATGGTGATAATGAAGAAGGTGATTAATTTTCTTCACCTGCCCATAAAAATCCATTGTTGGATATAGACCTACCCCGTTGTAGGGAGGATTTATCTTAATTGCTTGGCAGTTATGTGGGTAAAAAATTGATCGTGATATATATATATATATATATATATATATATATATATATATATATATATATATATACCTATTAGTTATATATAATCATAGTTCTTCCCTATGTCTGTTAGATACATATTATTAAAATAAGTTACGAGCTTTGTATGTTTCTCATACTTAATGTTGTCTCGTGACTTAATGTAACATATTATGTATAATATAAAATATATCTCTAAACTAAGAAATCTATTAAAATACTTATGAATATTTGTTTGCATGGTTTGTTGTGTGTTCCGCACTGGCTAAAATTAGACAACTAAGAAAATATTTGGATATTTTGGCGAACGATGACGAGAGTGTCTCAGATCTCACTGAGTACTATCAAAATCACCAGGACGAATTGCTAAAACTTCTCAATATCCTAAATCCTAAGGCTCCATATTTACTAGATGAGCCGGATAATTTAGATGAGGACGACAAAAGTGTGGAACTAGTAAAAGAACCGGTTGCAAGGAATTATGGTGGCGATCGTTCAATTTATCAAGAAGACTATGTATCCAAGCAAAGCTTAAGACATCTTTCTGAGGATCAAACTGATCTTAATAGATTGTTGAATAGATCCAGCGACTACGATTCCGATAGCTCAGGACCTTTGCAAAAAATAAAAAAGATAAAAACCAATTTCTTTACAAAAAGGTTTTCAGTTTCCCGATCGCGAAAAACGGAAACACAAGACGACCAAGTATCTTTAAAATCTAACTCTTCTGACAATTCTCGTATATCTATAACTGACATAAAGAATGAATTCAAGAAATTAAAAAGGTTGAAGAAGCCAAAAATACTCAAGGTCATCAATAAGGAAGAGGAAGGTATAGGCATGGCGTCTATATTGGCTAGATCAGTAATTCACGCGCAAACGAGTCTAGCATGTATTGCTGAATCTCAAGATTCTGAACATTCGCCCGCCTCAACTATGAGACGTATTAGTGAATCTGAACCCACCATAAACTTTTCGGATGAAGAAAAAAATAAAGGGGATATAGATCGTACTTCTACAAAGGATACATTAAATGACAATAAAACAGTGATACCAGAAATATGCTGTTTATCATTAGAAAACATTAAAAGTGAAAACTATGAGGGAAAGGATAATAAGAAGCAAAGGGAACTATCCGAGTCATGTCCAACTACACCTATGGTAATTCGAAGCGATAATCTTTTAAAGTTGCCTGAAGAAGGTGATTTTTATGGCTCAGTATCATCTGCTTTGTCTGTGCGTAGTTCGGAATATACGAGTTCAGATGAAGACGATGAAAGTTCCGAGTTGAAAACAGATACCGAAAGAACAATTGAAACAACAAGTTCTCTCGTAGAATCCGTTTTGAGCCACAATACGAATCCTAATTTAATTGCGCAAAAGGAAAATAAACTTTCTTTATTTCAAATTACTTCTAACGACGGTAAAGTACATAAAATTCAAGATGGCAACAATGAGGCAAACAAAAATAATGACGTTAACATTATGGGCTCTACAGCAAATGCCTGTGTAGAAACTTTACAAGAATATAATTTGAAAAACACTGTTAACATTGGAGTAGAAAATAGCGAGGTTAATAAGAAAGATAACGCAGAAGAAAAATCTAGAACAGATAAAAGTAATGTAATTCTAAATGTTCCGAATAGTTCAGATGCGGTCTGCCCGAAAGACAAGTGCGTAACTAAAAAGTCAAGTAACCATATTAAAATGAATAATCCTTTTGCTCATAAAAAAGCTTCTAAGAGCGTAAGCGCACCTTCCTCCCCAGTAGACAGAAAAGGCTTTGTATATCGTTCATCGAAGCGAATAAAGCGTCAACTAACCAAGATTACGAAGAGTAGTACGATCAAAAGCTTATCTCATTATACCCTTAGACCAAAGAAAAAGCATGAGGATCCTAAAAATGCTATGAGTCACCCTGGCTCCGCTTCTGATGTTACTTCAAAGGCTCCTAGCGAAACAGTCTTAGGTTCTCCTTTCCTTTCTTATACAGACTTGCTTAGCCTTGATAGGCAGGGCTTCGAGGCAAATACTAGACTTCATAAAAGCGATGAAACGGGCATTGCAAAATTTTCAATGTATATTGGGTCAGAACCAGTCTCTCGTACATCTTTCAGTGGTCCTTCCAGACACCACAGCAAAAGTCAAAGTTTTCGTGAACAACGGTCACAAAAAAAAGAAAGATCAAGTCTTAAACCGACTGGTTTGATCCACACTGCGATGGAAACTATTTTAATGGATAAAGTACAATCTTTGTTGATACTAACATCGCCTGACCCAATCCAAAGTAATGATAAGAAATTTTTTGATGATTTGAACGAAAAATTGGAGGAAGTTGAAGTATCCAGAAAAAAAATTCAGCAAAGGCAATTAGAATGTGAATTAATTAGGGACAATAAAAACGAAAGCGACTCTTTAAAAGATAAGAAAAAACTTGTCAGACAAGACAGTATTCATTCAACTGCTGACACTGGAGAGTCGTCCAAAGTGTCCAATGATTTAGAACCTAACCACATCATTCCATGCAAGTTAACAAACACACCGGTATTGCAACACTTTCATCCCATACTTAGTGGCACTCCTTTAGAGTCCATACCATCGCTGCCAGAGAGCAGTTTGGATCGCGTTGAGAGTTTAGATGTAGAGGGCATAGGCGATAAGTGTGAGAGTGGAACTAACAGTGCTAGCGTGTGTGGTAACTTGCATGCAGCGTGCCGTTTTGACAGGAGCGAGCGGGATAGAGATAAGAATGAAAAGGAGAAAGGGTCGCCGAGACATGCTCGGCATGAATCGTACGGCGGTCGGGAACCGGTGGCCGGAGCTACTGCGCAGAATGCTTCATTAAACTCTTCATCAATACCAGTTGGAATATCACATAGAAGGTCTTCAGATTCCGATCTAAGCATCACACCTAAAGGTTAGTTCCAATTTCCGGTACTTTCTTTTTTAGTTTTTGGTATAGATACTACTATAAATTGATTTTAGTGTATATGTGGACGGCTCCGTGGCGCAGTAGCTTAGAAATGCGTTGTTGCGCTGGGGGTCTACATGGCCTATAAATAATTGTTCCGGGTTCGGATGTTTGTCCTTGTGCAATCTATGTTTGTAAACTGCCTCCACGATACAGGTGAAAATCCTTGTGTGTGGGTATAACGTTTTAAAAAAAATTAAGAAATAATTTCTGCATCACAAGATTTTGGAAATAAATTTACTTTATCCGGAGAGACTGTAGTGTCTCACGCCAAGTACACGTTCAACATATATATATGACGGCACGTGCACCATTGCACGTGCGGTGGCGTCGGTGTAGCTAGACAGAATTCTTGTAAATAACACGTGCTCCGCACACCTGCACCATTGCACCTACGGTGGCGCCCGTTTAGTTTGTATAAAACGGACGGAGCTGCCGCCGTTAGGACAGTCTTGTCTCTGACGTGGAACGGTGCGCTTGTCGTATTCCGTTACTAGTTTATCCTCGACTCGTTGGATAATTAATTCGTTTTTAATTCGTGTAAACGAATTAATTATTATTCCTAACTACAAAATCAGTATCTGTACTGTACCCACTATACTTCATAGATATATGTATGTAAACGTGTAGGCGTGAGACTACAGTGTATATATTCTCGAATCAGATGTCAACATAACATCACCCAATTTTTAACTTCATATATTTAATTATTAACGAAACGTCAACATTTTATACAGTCATTTATCAATTGTTTCCATATAACACTAAAAATTATTTCTATCTATCAATTATTTCATACTTTTCAATATCTCAAATTTTTGCTTGCGCACTTTTCCGATTCTACAAAAGATTTTATTAATTTCGGTGGAATTTTTTATCTTTTCAAAGATTGTTGACTTGAATGCTTGTCTTTTAAGCCATGTTTTCACTTATTTATTTTCAAGATTTTTGGCTTGGATGCTTGTCTTTTAAGCCATGTTTTCATTTATCTCTGCACTAAATGATTATAATCCTTTATAATACACTACTTTACAATATGTTGATGCGTCACATTGCGCAGCCCTTTGGCGATTTCGACGGCAACTTGAGCCAGCAGAAAGTTGGCCTTATTATCTCAAGGCGTCTAAGCACCTTATCTTGAGAATATTGGTATGGCGGTAGGGATGCAACATCGCTCATAAAAAAAACGATATTAGAACCTCGATATTTTCGAAAGTGAAACATCGATTTAAAAAAAAGGGTTATTATAGTATAAATGAATACATGGTTGATAATAACCCCTGGGAATTAGGTGGTTGCTTCCAAGCAGTTTCTAAAATAAATTTTGTAAATAGTTTGTAATCATTTTGTATTGTAAAATTTATTTAAGAAAAAAGTCCCGCTGGGTTTCTTGTTCGTTCTTCCCAGGACAGATGGTTTTTTTCGAACCAGTAGTAAAGTAAAAAATGACTTTCAATAAGAATTACTCATGTAATATATATTGAATAAAAAATTATTCTATTCTATTCTAAAAGCATCAAAGTATATGAATAATATATCGATATTTTTGATGTTTTTTATCACCATTTAAATATATATATCGAATAAATAATCATTTTGAAGAGATCCGGAAACACTGTAGTGTCTCACGCCAAGTACAAGTTCAACATTCTTATTGCATGCCGTAAGCGCAATGCGCGTAGGTATGTTCTATCTTGAGAATATTGGTATGGCGGTAGGGATGCAACATCGCTCATAAAAAAAGCGATATTAGAACCTCGATATTTTCGAAAGTGAAACATCAAGGTAGATATATGAATAATATATCGATATTTTTGATGTTTTTTATCACCATTTAAATATATATATCGAATAAATAATCATTTTGAAGAGATCCGGAAACACTGTAGTGTCTCACGCCAAGTACAAGTTCAACATCCTTATTGCATGCCGTAAGCGCAATGCGCGTAGGTATGTTCTATCTTGAGAATATTGGTATGGCGGTAGGGATGCAACATCGCTCATAAAAAAAAGCGATATTAGAACCTCGATATTTTCGAAAGTGAAACATCAAGGTAAATATATGAATAATATATCGATATTTTTGATGTTTGTTATCACCATTTAAATATATATATATAATTCTGAGCAATAATATCCAGCGCAGAGCGGTTCAAATCGTCGACGACCGAGTTCTTTCTGATCGACTAGATGCTATGTTGTGCTATGTATATCCGGAGACACTGTAGTGTCTCACGCCAGTACACGTTCAACATATGTGTATGTCTGTAAGCGTATAGGCGTGAGGCTACAGTGTATATATTCTCGAAACAGATGTCAACATAACCTCACCTAATTTTTAACTTCATATATTTAACACAACCAAGTACAATATTTTATTATTATTACTTTTTTCAGCAAAATTGTTTTTTCGAATATAAAACGGTTACGTACTTGGTTTTTTTATTTTATAATTTTTTGTAAAAATGTAATTATTATTTTTGTAACTATAGTTGAAGGTGTACTTGGCGCGATGCTTTACAGTGAAACTGCTTTTGTTAGGATTAAACAATATTAGTCTGACATATAGTCTATTTTATATAACAGGAAGTTCCTTAAATGCATCCTTGGGCAACGCTGGTAGCGGTGGTGGTGCAATTCTAAGGCCGTCCATGAATAGCAATAATCTGGATATGTTGGAATATCCCTTCCTCACTATGACTGAATATCCTCCCGGGTTTATTGTGCATATAGGTAAGTCAGTTTTTTTTTATTTGTTCTATACTTTTACTTTGTTTAGTTTGTTTTTTGAAGCGGGATTTACTAGGTGATAGGGCTTCTTTTCTGTCTAGATGTTAGTCTGGGTAACAGTGTGACCAGTCTATAATATTCTGTTCTGCTGGTATTAATTACAGAATTTGCTAATAACTTTATTTCAGTTTGACACAGACGTGTCAAAGCAGATAAACTCAGTGGCGAAACGCGGGGCATAGTCTCAGGTGCCAGATTTCAAAAGACAGTATTTGAGAAAATATCTGTTTTAATTTTTTAAATCATGCCAGTAACAATTCAAAAATCTTTTAAACATAATTATAAACTTCAACTATATTACTACATCTAATAATTTACAATATGTTCAAGTCTTTTATATTTTTATAATACTTTCGAAAACAAGGGAGGGCCTTTTTGACTGTAGCAGATCCGAGCAGCAACACATGCTACGCCATGAAAAATATTAGCTTAGTTTGTAGTTTTTTTGATACAGTTAAGTAAAGCATTAGTAAAATGGATCATCCTAGCCTTCGACAACTAGGTACAAATAAATGTACCTTCATCCCACTCTACTCCTATTGACGGAACAATTACACAACGACACTATTTGGGAACGGGAAAGAATAAACGAAAGAAGTGTTGCTAGTGTAGTAAAAATAAATTCGGTACTACAATGGGTCGCTCGACAGCTGATGCTGGCGTTGAGATGATTAAACATATTTTCCATACATGGAGAATTCAAAGTGTCATCAACATCATCATCATTACAGCCCTTCACAAGTCCACTGCTGAACATAGGCCTCCCCCAAGGAATTTCACAAAACACGATCTTGAGCCACTTGCATCCATCGCCTTTCTGCATGTCTAACCAGTTCGTCACTCCATCTACTGGGGTGTCTCCTACGCTTCGCCTATCGGTACGAGGCTGCAACTCGAGAACCTTTCTTCCACATCGGTTGTTGGTTCCTCGAGCACATTGCACATTGCAACTTCAGTTGACTAATCCGTTGGGCTGTGTCGGTCACTCTGGTACTACTGCGCATATCCTCATTTCTAAATTTATCATGCAGATAAACCCCAAACATAGCGCTTTCCATAGCTTATCGTATAAAAAACATTCCACAGCCGAGTAGAATCCGCTGATTGACCAAAGAATAGAAGAGTCGAAGATAGACTTACCTAGCTGGATTATTTGCAAACATATTCGTCAACAACTTCGAGCTTAGTGTTCCCAACATTTACCGGCATAGTTGTCAGTCACATGGACGTTACACATGATCTTTGTTTTGTCCATGATTATCTTAAGATCTATCCTTTGGGAGGCACTATTGAGGTCATTGATCATAGTGCTTAGATCCTCCAGCGATTCTGCCATAAGGACTATATTGTCGGCAAATCGAAGGTGAGTGATGTACTATTAATAGTGATGTACTATTAACACCATATCCTTTCTAGTCCAGTAGCTTGATAAAGTCTTCCGGTGCAGCAGTGAAGAGTTTCGGGGAAATAACGTCACCATGTCTACACCTCTCTACAGTTGGAAGGGTTTCGTACTCTGATTTTGTACTCGGATGGCCATTGTAACCCCACTATACAAATACTCCAGCACTTCGATATACCGACAGCCAACTTGGCACTGCTGAAGGGACTGTAGCACCCCCCAAATTTCGACGGAATCAAAGGCTTTCTCATAGCCGACTTATGCAAGGCAAAGTGAAAATCAAGATTAGAATGAGACGATTCGTAATGACTCGAAAACAGCACGTAGACGCGTTTCAAAAGGGAAATCGGTCTGTAGTTCTTCAAGAGAGCGCTGTCGCATTTGTTGAAGAACAAGACCACCGTACTTCTACTCCACGCCTCCGGAGTAGTCCCACCATGGAGGATGGAATTAAAAAGCTTCTGAAGGACTTCAAGTACCGGTGTTCAGTTGGTGTTTTCAGAAGCTCCATTGTAGTTCCATCCTCGCTTGTAGCCTTGTCGTTTTAAGATGCTGGAGAGCCATTGTAATCTCGTTCAGACTAACGTCCGGTATATCATTAGAATAGTGTCGGATAAGACTTGTTCTAAGATCGTTACTCATACTTGCGTATGGCTCCAACGATGACGTGTATAGCTGCCCATAGAACCTCTAAACCACACTCAAAATCTCAGGTGTCCTGGAAAAGAAGCTGCCATACTCGGTCTTCAGCTTCGACAGTTGGCTCTTTGTGGTAGACAGATCTCTGGAAAAGACTTGCGAGCTCGATCGCATCTTCAATATGAGCTGTATTGAAGTTGCGTAATTCCCACCGCATGCGGTGGAGATCTGTCTGTTCAGTTGCCTGTATGCGTCAAATCGGCTGAAGACTGCAACTCGCTTCCCGTCTAAAAGATTAAGAGTGTGATCGGAAGGTTTTTGTGTTCTTCTTTTCACTTCAAGCTTTAGGTATATTTTGTGACCTATCCAAAGCCTTTGATTATTTTCATCGTGAAATATTAATGTGGTAACTACAACACTATAGTGCAAGAAATGTTGTCCTTAAAATTATTTCATATCTAAGTAACAGAACTCAAAAATTGTTATCAAGAGTGTGATATGTAAGAGTTCTTTCGAGTCGATAATACAAATGGCGTGCCTCAGGGTTCAATTGTTGGTCCATTTCCGTTTCTTGTTTTTATTGATGACCTTGCATAGTAGGCGATAACTGTAGTATTATTTGCTTTAAATTTAATAAAGTATCGTCGTGTTTCTTTAAGTTTCAGTCTATAACGGCAATTACCCAAAAATTAAGAAGTAAATAATGCTATATCTAAACTAATAAATTGTTTTAAGGTGAAAACGCCAGGGTATTCCGCGAAATTAAAATTTTCTTACGTTTTTTGCAATTTGCAAGTCAGTGTAAGGTTGTATCCTTAGCAAAATATGATTCGCGACAGTAGTGAGTATGTATTTACAGAATTATAATCATCAATACATCCCGCTAGGTTCGTATAATCCCATTGTATTGCTATTTCCAGAAAAACTCATTCAAAGGGATTATATGAACTTAGAGGGTTGTATCGATGATTTTAATGATAATAATTCTGTAAAAATATACTCGTAACGGTCGTGAATCATATTTTGATAAACATACAACCGGACCCTGACCTGCAAATTCCGTAAAACGTAAGAAAATTTGAATTTCGTGGGCCACCCTGTCGCTTTCACCTTAACACAAACAATTTGCATTTAAATAGTACTAAAAGTAAATGTTTGTGTTGTGTTGTAACTTGTTGATACTATCGTTTTTTTTTTTAAAATTACTTCGGACTCTAAGCTTCAATGGTGTCTTCATATATCTAAACTAGCAAGCAGATTTAGTTCTGTAGCGTACACTGTAAAAAATATTAGAACTCCTTAGTTTATTTAGCTATTTCTGTGGCATAATGTCGTACAGTATTTTGCTATTGGGAAACGTGACTGATATTAAAACTATATTTGTTTTGCAAAATAGGGCTATAAGACCAATTTACGATTTAAAACTTTTAGTGAGTCCCTAGAACAAAAATTTAAGAAAATTAATTTACATGTTGTCCCAAAAATCAACGCCAAGCCGGAAACGGCTGATATTATACGGGTGATATAATTAGTCATGATAATCATTAGAAAAATAACACATTTTAAGTTAAGTATTTTAATAATAATCGAGAAAATTTACTTTCCTGTGATAGTGTTATATATAACTCAACAGAAAACAAATCTATATTTTTTTAAATTGTATTTTTATTATGTATGTGAATAATGTTTCTGTAAGTTGTTGCATAAAATTTAAAGCCAACTGCTCCAGCTTGGAAGAAAATGTTACTTTTAGTCTAAGTAAGTATTCAAAGTTAAGACTTCGCCTAATTTTAACTGCTTGTACTGAATAAAAATGTATTACGCTAGTTTGGTAAGAAGTTGGTGTATTTGATTTGGATTCCAAAATGTCATTTGCTAAATTATTTCTTGCTAACTCAGTTTTGAATAATTTTTTTATTATAGAAACAGAAACAGAAACAGAAACAGAAACTTTTTTATTCAATATAGATTATAAATAATACTTATTGAAAGTCACTCTTTTGTTTGATTACCACTGGTTCGGAAAAAACCTCTGTCCTGGGAAGAACCAGCAAGAAACCCAGCGGGACTTTTTTTTTTAAATAACAGCTTACAATCATGGTGTTACACAAATTAACAACACAAAAAATTAGAAATAGCTTGGTAGCGATCACCTCATTTCCAGGGGTTATGATCATCCATAAATTCCTTAATATTATAATAACCCTTTTTATACAAACTTAGTTTAATAAAGTTTTTGAACTTTGAACAGGTCAAACTTTGTATATTTTCTGGAATTTTGTTGTAAAAGCGTATACATCGCCCGAAGAATGAATTACTGACTCGATGGAGTCTAGTAACTGGTACTACTAGCTTGTGTCTGTTCCTAGTATTTACAGAATGAATATCACTTATTTTTGTAAAACTACTTTTATTTTTGTGTACGTACATTACATTTTCATAAATGTATTGAGAGGCCAAAGTTAATATATTAATTTCCTTAAATTTTTGTCGCAGCGACTCTTTAGGCTTTAAATCATAAATTGCTCTTATGGCCCTCTTCTGCAAAACAAATATAATTTCAGTGTCAGCTGCGTGTTCCCATAGCAAAATACCATACGACATTATGCTATGGAAGTAGCTGAAGTAAACTAGTCTAGCTGTTTCAACACTGGTTAGACTTCTAATCTTTTTTACAGCATATGCTGCAGAACTAAGTCTGCTTGCTAGTTTTTATATATGGGGGCTCCATTGAAGCTTCGCGTCTAGTGTGATTCCAAGAAAAATGGTGGTATCTACAAGACTCAGTTTCTCCCCATTTAAAATTACATTAGTATTTAATTGTTTGACATTTGGAGTCACGAATTTCATACATTTTGTTTTAGTGCCATTTAAATGCAAATTATTAACATCGAACCAATTTACTAATTTAGATATAGCATTATTTACTTCGTCATATTTTAGTAACTGTCGACTTAATTTGAAAATTAAAGAAGTGTCATCTGCAAATAATACTATATCATGGTTATCCCCTACTATGTAAGGGAAGTCATTAATGTATACAAGAAACAGAAAGGGGCCGAGAATTGAGCCTTGAGGCACGCCCATTTGTACCATCGATCCGGAAATATATATATTTCCGGAAATATATATAATTAATAGAATCAGGCGTTATTTTGCACATCGCTCCCCAGTAACAAAAATCTAGTGGATTTAAGTCAGGTGAACGGGCGCCATGAGATTGTACCAGACCAGATTGTATCCATTGGCCGGGTATTTATCATTGAGAAATATTTCAACTGAGCGAGTATAGTGTGCCGGGCAGCCGTATTGCTGGAACCACATGTCTCTGTAAATGCTTAGTGGCACGTCTTCCAACAAACTTAGTAAATTATTTTGTATATATACTTTGGCTTCTCAGTATATTTATGATGATTGTGACGGTGGCGAAAACGAAAAATTATACAGTTCGAATAGCTATAGCTTTATAGTCAACTATGTACTGTTACTGTTATAGACTTTTAAAGGTAAATAAGATCGTATAATTTTTATTGGTTTACGATTTTGAAAACGTCGGTGATTTGTGTTAGGTGGAACCGTTTGCGCGCGGTCCGTGAAACTGGTGGATGGTGGCGGGGAAAGCGTTGCGCGTGCGGCGTGGTGGGCCGAGCTGCGTACCGAGCTGCGGGCGCACGCGCGGGCCTTGCGCTGCACCGCCGTGCTGGCCTACAGCGAGCGCGTGGCCGTGAGGTACGTACCGCACCGCACCACTGCACACCGCACTAGTGCGGCACCTTGCTGGCCTACAGCGAGCGCGTGGCCGTGAGGTACGTACCGCACCGCACCACTGCACACCGCACTAGTGCGGCACCTTGCTGGCCTACAGCGAGCGCGTGGCCGTGAGGTACGTACCGCACCGTACCACTGCACACCGCACTAGTGCGGCACCTTGCTGGCCTACAGCGAGCGCGTGGCCGTGAGGTACGTACCGCACCGCACCACTGCACACCGCACTAGTGCGGCACCGTGCTGGCCTACAGCGAGCGCGTGGCCGTGAGGTACGTACCGCACCGCACCACTGCACACCGCACTAGTGCGGCACCTTGCTGGCCTACAGCGAGCGCGTGGCCGTGAGGTACGTACCGCACCGCACCATTGCACACCGCACTAGTGCGGCACCTTGCTGGCCTACAGCGAACGCGTGGCCGTGAGGTACGTACCGCACCGCACCACTGCACACCGCACTAGTGCGGCACCTTGCTGGCCTACAGCGAGCGCGTGGCCGTGAGGTACGTACCGCACCGCACCACTGCACACCGCACTAGTGCGGCACCGTGCTGGCCTACAGCGAGCGCGTGGCCGTGAGGTACGTACCGCACCGCACCACTGCACACCGCACTAGTGCGGCACCTTGCTGGCCTACAGCGAGCGCGTGGCCGTGAGGTACGTACCGCACCGCACCACTGCACACCGCACTAGTGCGGCACCTTGCTGGCCTACAGCGAGCGCGTGGCCGTGAGGTACGTACCGCACCGCACCACTGCACACCGCACTAGTGCGGCACCTTGCTGGCCTACAGCGAGCGCGTGGCCGTGAGGTACGTACCGCACCGCACCACTGCACACCGCACTAGTGCGGCACCGTGCTGGCCTACAGCGAGCGCGTGGCCGTGAGGTACGTACCGCACCGCACCACTGCACACCGCACTAGTGCGGCACCTTGCTGGCCTACAGCGAGCGCGTGGCCGTGAGGTACGTACCGCACCGCACCACTGCACACCGCACTAGTGCGGCACCTTGCTGGCCTACAGCGAGCGCGTGGCCGTGAGGTACGTACCGCACCGCACCACTGCACACCGCACTAGTGCGGCACCGTGCTGGCCTACAGCGAGCGCGTGGCCGTGAGGTACGTACCGCACCGCACCACTGCACACCGCACTAGTGCGGCACCTTGCTGGCCTACAGCGAGCGCGTGGCCGTGAGGTACGTACCGCACCGCACCACTGCACACCGCACTAGTGCGGCACCTTGCTGGCCTACAGCGAGCGCGTGGCCGTGAGGTACGTACCGCACCGCACCACTGCACACCGCACTAGTGCGGCACCGTGCTGGCCTACAGCGAGCGCGTGGCCGTGAGGTACGTACCGCACCGCACCACTGCACACCGCACTAGTGCGGCACCTTGCTGGCCTACAGCGAGCGCGTGGCCGTGAGGTACGTACCGCACCGCACCACTGCACACCGCACTAGTGCGGCACCGTGCTGGCCTACAGCGAGCGCGTGGCCGTGAGGTACGTACCGCACCGCACCACTGCACACCGCACTAGTGCGGCACCTTGCTGGCCTACAGCGAGCGCGTGGCCGTGAGGTACGTACCGCACCGCACCACTGCACACCGCACTAGTGCGGCACCTTGCTGGCCTACAGCGAGCGCGTGGCCGTGAGGTACGTACCGCACCGCACCACTGCACACCGCACTAGTGCGGCACCTTGCTGGCCTACAGCGAGCGCGTGGCCGTGAGGTACGTACCGCACCGCACCACTGCACACCGCACTAGTGCGGCACCGTGCTGGCCTACAGCGAGCGCGTGGCCGTGAGGTACGTACCGCACCGCACCACTGCACACCGCACTAGTGCGGCACCTTGCTGGCCTACAGCGAGCGCGTGGCCGTGAGGTACGTACCGCACCGCACCACTGCACACCGCACTAGTGCGGCACCTTGCTGGCCTACAGCGAGCGCGTGGCCGTGAGGTACGTACCGCACCGCACCACTGCACACCGCACTAGTGCGGCACCGTGCTGGCCTACAGCGAGCGCGTGGCCGTGAGGTACGTACCGCACCGCACCACTGCACACCGCACTAGTGCGGCACCTTGCTGGCCTACAGCGAGCGCGTGGCCGTGAGGTACGTACCGCACCGCACCACTGCACACCGCACTAGTGCGGCACCTTGCTGGCCTACAGCGAGCGCGTGGCCGTGAGGTACGTACCGCACCGCACCACTGCACACCGCACTAGTGCGGCACCGTGCTGGCCTACAGCGAGCGCGTGGCCGTGAGGTACGTACCGCACCGCACCACTGCACACCGCACTAGTGCGGCACCTTGCTGGCCTACAGCGAGCGCGTGGCCGTGAGGTACGTACCGCACCGCACCACTGCACACCGCACTAGTGCGGCACCTTGCTGGCCTACAGCGAGCGCGTGGCCGTGAGGTACGTACCGCACCGCACCACTGCACACCGCACTAGTGCGGCACCGTGCTGGCCTACAGCGAGCGCGTGGCCGTGAGGTACGTACCGCACCGCACCACTGCACACCGCACTAGTGCGGCACCTTGCTGGCCTACAGCGAGCGCGTGGCCGTGAGGTACGTACCGCACCGCACCACTGCACACCGCACTAGTGCGGCACCGTGCTGGCCTACAGCGAGCGCGTGGCCGTGAGGTACGTACCGCACCGCACCACTGCACACCGCACTAGTGCGGCACCGTGCTGGCCTACAGCGAGCGCGTGGCCGTGAGGTACGTACCGCACCGCACCACTGCACACCGCACTAGTGCGGCACCTTGCTGGCCTACAGCGAGCGCGTGGCCGTGAGGTACGTACCGCACCGCACCACTGCACACCGCACTAGTGCGGCACCGTGCTGGCCTACAGCGAGCGCGTGGCCGTGAGGTACGTACCGCACCGCACCACTGCACACCGCACTAGTGCGGCACCGTGCTGGCCTACAGCGAGCGCGTGGCCGTGAGGTACGTACCGCACCGCACCACTGCACACCGCACTAGTGCGGCACCTTGCTGGCCTACAGCGAGCGCGTGGCCGTGAGGTACGTACCGCACCGCACCACTGCACACCGCACTAGTGCGGCACCGTGCTGGCCTACAGCGAGCGCGTGGCCGTGAGGTACGTACCGCACCGCACCACTGCACACCGCACTAGTGCGGCACCTTGCTGGCCTACAGCGAGCGCGTGGCCGTGAGGTACGTACCGCACCGCACCACTGCACACCGCACTAGTGCGGCACCTTGCTGGCCTACAGCGAGCGCGTGGCCGTGAGGTACGTACCGCACCGTACCACTGCACACCGCACTAGTGCGGCACCTTGCTGGCCTACAGCGAGCGCGTGGCCGTGAGGTACGTACCGCACCGCACCACTGCACACCGCACTAGTGCGGCACCGTGCTGGCCTACAGCGAGCGCGTGGCCGTGAGGTACGTACCGCACCGCACCACTGCACACCGCACTAGTGCGGCACCTTGCTGGCCTACAGCGAGCGCGTGGCCGTGAGGTACGTACCGCACCGCACCATTGCACACCGCACTAGTGCGGCACCTTGCTGGCCTACAGCGAACGCGTGGCCGTGAGGTACGTACCGCACCGCACCACTGCACACCGCACTAGTGCGGCACCGTGCTGGCCTACAGCGAGCGCGTGGCCGTGAGGTACGTACCGCACCGCACCACTGCACACCGCACTAGTGCGGCACCTTGCTGGCCTACAGCGAGCGCGTGGCCGTGAGGTACGTACCGCACCGCACCACTGCACACCGCACTAGTGCGGCACCGTGCTGGCCTACAGCGAGCGCGTGGCCGTGAGGTACGTACCGCACCGCACCACTGCACACCGCACTAGTGCGGCACCGTGCTGGCCTACAGCGAGCGCGTGGCCGTGAGGTACGTACCGCACCGCACCACTGCACACCGCACTAGTGCGGCACCGTGCTGGCCTACAGCGAGCGCGTGGCCGTGAGGTACGTACCGCACCGCACCACTGCACACCGCACTAGTGCGGCACCGTGCTGGCCTACAGCGAGCGCGTGGCCGTGAGGTACGTACCGCACCGCACCACTGCACACCGCACTAGTGCGGCACCTTGCTGGCCTACAGCGAGCGCGTGGCCGTGAGGTACGTACCGCACCGCACCACTGCACACCGCACTAGTGCGGCACCGTGCTGGCCTACAGCGAGCGCGTGGCCGTGAGGTACGTACCGCACCGCACCACTGCACACCGCACTAGTGCGGCACCGTGCTGGCCTACAGCGAGCGCGTGGCCGTGAGGTACGTACCGCACCGCACCACTGCACACCGCACTAGTGCGGCACCGTGCTGGCCTACAGCGAGCGCGTGGCCGTGAGGTACGTACCGCACCGCACCACTGCACACCGCACTAGTGCGGCACCTTGCTGGCCTACAGCGAGCGCGTGGCCGTGAGGTACGTACCGCACCGCACCACTGCACACCGCACTAGTGCGGCACCGTGCTGGCCTACAGCGAGCGCGTGGCCGTGAGGTACGTACCGCACCGCACCACTGCACACCGCACTAGTGCGGCACTCCTGCGGCTCACCTGATGGTAAGTGACTACCGCCGCCCATGAACAACTGCAACACCAGGGGAATCGCAGATGCGTTGCCGGCCTTTTAAAAAGGAGTACGCTCTTTTCTTGAAGGTCCCTAAGTCGTATCGGTCCGGAAAAATCGCTGATGGTAATCGATTCCACAAGGAGGTCGTGCGAGGAAGAAAACATCTTCTAAATCGCACAGTGGTGGACCGCCAATCATCCAGATGGTGTGGATGGTATCGGGAGTTCTGCCGCGATGTGCGTTCGTGAAATTTGGCGGCTGGGATTAATCCGAACAACTCCTCAGAGTACTCCCCATGGTAGATGCGAAAGAAAATGCAAAGGGATGCAACATCTCTTCGCAGTGCCAATGAATCGAGCCGATCGGAAAGGGCTCGGTCGTCGACGATTCGAGCCGCTCTGCGTTCGATGCGGTCAAGTGGAAGGAGCTGGCACTGGGGAGCCCCTGCCCAGAGATGGGAACAGTATTCCATGTGAGGCCGAACTTGCGCCTTGTAAAGTTGCCGGCATGACATACTGTCCCGCTCTGCTGAGCACGCCAAGCTTTTTAGAGGCCAATTTGGCCCTCCCTTCCAAGTGACCACGAAACTGCATGTCACTCGATATGTCGACTCCGAGGATACCGATACTGGCTGAGGCAAGAAGGGGAGTGCCTTGAAACTGAGGAGATACGACAAAGGGATTCTTTTTAGCGGTAAACGCGCAAACTTGTGTCTTCTGAGGATTAAACTGGACTAGATTTAGTCGCCCCCAATCCGAGACTTTGTTCAGCAAAGACTCGACTTCAGACACAAGTTTGTTCCGGTACTCAGCGACGTTTTCCCGAGAAATATTGGCACGGCCGGTGTATAGAGCATCACCAGTGCTGTCATCCGCATAGCAATGAATGTTACCAGTTAGCAACATATCATTGATATGCAGAAGAAACAGCGTTGGTGATAGCACACAGCCTTGTGGAACACCAGCTAGGCTTGTAGTCAGAGCATGCACCGTCTACAACGACCTTGATGCTCCGATCTGCAAGGAAACTGGTGATCCAATTGCACAATTTCTCGGGAAGCCCATAGGAAGGGAGCTTCGAAAGAAGCGCTTTGTGCCAAACCCGATCAAAGGCCTTCGCAATGTCCAGACTAACGGCCAACGCCTCCCCCTTGGACTCTACTGCCTCCGCCTATCTATGAGTCAGGTAGACCAGAAGATCACCAGCTGATCGACCCCGACGAAAACCGTATTGGCGGTCACTAATCAGCTGGTGATCCTCAAGGTACCGGATGAGCTGGCAGTTAATAATGGATTCCATTATTTTGGAGAACAAGGAGGTGATCGCGATAGGCCTATAGTTGGATGGGTCTGAGCGGTCGCCTTTTTTAGGGATCGGGTGGACAAAAGCTGTCTTCCATGATTTCGGGACTACGCCTTGGGAGTAGGAGTACCGGAAAAGACGCGTTAGGACCGGTGCCAACTCCGGAGCACACGTCCTCAGCACAATTGGGGGAATTCCGTTAGGCCCACTCGACTTCTGGATGTCCAGGGAGAGCAGTGCTTTGCGAACCGAGCGCTGTGAGAACAGCATATCCAGCATGGAGCACTCACACCGCGGGATGGTCGGCGGTGTTTTCCCCCCGTCATCAAGAGTCGAGTTGGACGCAAAAAGGGAGCCTAAAAGGTCGGCTTTGTCTTTTGCGTCTTGGGCCAGTGAGTCATCCTCCCTGTGCAGAGATTCTAGTGATGGCTTACAGAAATTCCCTTGGACAGCCTTGGCGAGAGACCAGAATGCACGGGTTCCCGAAGGAAGGCGAACTAGTTTCTCGCCAATTCTGCCTATGTGCTCTGACTTTGCTTTGGCAATAACTCTTTTGAAGGACCTGGAGGCGAAGTTATACTTCTTTTTAAGTGTGCTGGTGTTTACATCCCGAGTCGCCGAAGCCGCAGCCCAGGCTTGATAACACTCCTGCTTACTGCGTAATGCAGTCTTACAGGAGCGACCAAACCAAGGCTGAGATCTGCCTCCGATGGGTACCACAGATGATGGAATAAATAGTTCCATTCCCTGTAGCACCACATCAGTGACAGAGTCAGCAACAGCGCTGGGATCGTCCGGCGAGAAGCAAACCCGCCCCCATGGGTAGGATGCAAAGAAAGACCGCATTCCGTCCCAATCCGCCGACCTGTAATGCCAAACACGGCGGCAACCTGCAGAACGCAACCGCGAAGGGAGCGTGAGTGGCACCACACTCCGGATCAGACAATGGTCCGAAGAGCCGAGAGGGGACGACGGAAACCTGATATCCGTCCGGATGAGAGGTCAGCAGAAGGTCCAACAGGGAAGATGTATGATCCTCCACATCTGGAATCCGCGTAGGCGAAGTAACCAGTTGTGTCAGACCATATGCCAAGGCAAAGTCATAAACAGATCTCCCCGCATGATCGGTTAGACGTGAACCGAGCCATTCGGCATGGTGGGCGTTAAAATCGCCAAGGATCACGATCTCTGCGGATGGGACATGTTGTAGCAAGGAATCTGTAGCCATTTGGACGTGGTCGATGAGTCGGTCTGTTTCGGCATTACCGCTATGGGACCTATAGAGGCACCCGTAGACGCGCGGATGGTCATCGCTGTCTACGCGTAGCCAAAGGATGGACAGGTCCGAACCTTCAAGACTGCCGAGGCGTCTAGAACAGATGTCCTCCCTGACATACACGCAAACTCCAGCCCGAGGCACAAAGGAATGCTCCAATTTGTACCCCGGGTAGGAGAGATACGAAATATCAGCCGGAGAGGAAACCTGCGTCTCGTTCAGAAAGAGCAAGGCCGGCTTCGCCGTCTCGAGATGGTAGTGGACGGCGTTTAGGTTAGAGTGAAGTCCCCTGATGTTGCAGAAATTCACGGATAGCGTGGCAGGGGTCGCCTTGGTGTTCTTGCTCAGTTTGTCCCTACCAGTTATGCTTTTGAGCGGAATTTTGCCCCCCCCCCCCCAGAATACGCGGGGCAGCCTGAGCACCCACGCTCAGGATCGGAATAACATGGTCGTGGATGCTCAGCGAGGGATTCTCCAGGGGTACTGGTACCCTCCTGGGGTAGTTCATCGAGTTACGTTAATTAAGATGATAAGTTTAGTTTATTGTGTAATATTCGCGTAAATATAAGAAAACTTATTTTTTAACTGTCAAACGCCTCAGAAATTCAGTGACCTTATCCTTATTCTATACAATCACAAATATATTTTAATGCCATTTCTATGTCTGTGATTCTGTTTCTATGCAAGTATATTAATATTTTATTCTTCCTTTAAGAATTCTTATTAAGGACGTCGAATTATTTAGTGAAATGTTATTGTATTTTTACAGAGAAGATGTATGCGTTTTGTCAGCTTCGGGAACGGCTGCAGTTATTAATTTAGACTGCGAATTCGTCAGTGATGAAACTCCTGTCACAGGTAAAACATTTGTAAGCATTATATATATATATAGTAATATTACTAATTAAGATGTATGTATGTAATATTTAGTATAGTTTTCATATACTTTTTGAAGATCACTTTATCAGTGTTCTTTTTTACAGCGATGTTTATGATTTTCGTTATAATATTATATTGTATGCTTCTTTCATAAACCTAAATACTATCAATTATTATTACTATGTACTATTCACATTTACATTTACATTTTTTTTATTACACTGCTATTCCTTCTTTAGCAGTTTACTGCTGAACATGGGAATAATTGTATGGAGAATTACGTGGTAAAGCCATGCTGCAGCTATATTAGTAGTATAGTTGTAGCACGAATGGGTCGGCTCGACCGGGGAAGGACCACGCTCTCACAGAATACCAGCGTAAAATAGCAGCTTAACGCTGCTGTGTTTCGTATGGTGAGTGTAGAGAACCGGATACCTTTTTTGCTGGAAATGAGGCAGTCCATCTTCGTCCACACGGGTAATAACGCATCTGTATTTTGATTTGTAATCGAGGGTAGATGTAGACGTCTATGAGCCACAGTATCCACTTACCATCAGGTGGACTATGTGCTCGTTTGTCACTCTTAATTTACAAAAAAAATATATTTGCTTGTCAGTATTTTGTAGGTCTCAATAAGATCGCCTCTGATATAGTTCTCGCAATCCACGAAGTCGAGCGGGCTTTATAGGTCCCGCCACGTAAATAGAACACTGAGCAACAGTGGACGGGATGTCTACGTATGGGTACAGTCGCGTTCTAAAGTAATAGGCTGTTGTTTTATAATATAAAAGTAATTGTTTTTTGTAGGTACTTAATAATAATAATAATAATAATAATAAGGCGTAGGTACTTAATAATAATAATAATAATAATAAGGCGTAGGGAAGTGACGACCCCACCGCCCGCTGACGTAACAGTTAAGTGACAAAACTGCTACGTCAGTGCAGTCAGTCAGCGTCTTGCCTAGAGGTGTGTGCGCCGTGCCTCGGCAGAATTGAGGGTGCAAAGGTCCGTCTGTGCTTATGGCCGCACCATGAAACGGTGCCGGGCCTGGGCGTCTCCCGTTAATTGACGCCCATATAATGGATGATGGAAAATAAAAGAGTGCGCAAAGGGCCGCTGCCTGGAGGTCGCCAGGGCGCGTCTGGAACTGGCGCTGGACGCGACAGCATGCGGGTCGCCAGCCAAGCGCGGGGGGCTGCAAGACCACCTAGTAGCCGCCCGCATCCATCATCCCCACCAGAGGGCTTGGTGTCAGCTGGGTCTTCTCGGACTCAGCAAGTGGCACCCGCCGCTGGTGGAACACGTCGCATGCGTTGGACGAAAATCATGAACGCAAACGCATTGCGAGCGTATTTTAGGGCAAAAGGGGAAGAAACTGGAATGTTGGCGTATCGGGCTCGGATGCATCGCTTTTTCGCGGAGCTGGAGCCATCTGTTCATGTATCAGAGCAAAACCTGGCAGACCGAGTTCGGTACATCCTGCGCTCCAACATATTTGGTGACGCCGAACTCGAACGACTACGACGTGAGGCCGTTCCCTCATCGAATGAAAATGCTGCAGCTGGTAATGCGACGCCACAAATTGCAGAACAATCTGCACACGTCGATGCCGCCGCGGATTTTCCAGTTGTAGTTGATTCAGACGATGATGGAATGGTCACCCAAGAACTAGAGCAGATGAGGAGTAAATTGGAGGAGGCGATTGTGGAAACGCGCAGTACGCCTCTCGAAAATCGACCGCGACTACCGCGCATAACCCTAAGCAAGCGGAATCGGGCTGTCGTGAGGGCTCTTAACCCAATGCTGGTGACCTATTTGGAAGCCAGCCGGGACCTTTGCGAGACGGACTCAATTCTTTTTGGCGCCGCACTGGCAGTTTGCCGTATTATTGGCGCCAAACTTCCCACGGCTGGACGCGCTACTAGACAAAGTAGCGTCATCCCAGCCTGGAGAAGAAGGATTGAGGACCGTATCGCAAAGGCAAGGGTCCTCATCGGCAGACTGATAAGCTTCAGGTCGGGCAATAATAGGCCGAGAATTGTGCGCACCGTCAGGATGGCGTTTGCTGGGACAAATATCAGTTTGTCCCAGCCGGATATAACGCAAAAACTGACGGAGCGCATAGACGACCTGAAGCAGAGAATCGCTGCTTGGGGGAAGCGGATTCGGCGATATACCGAGAGGTCGACACGGTTCAACCAGAATCGTCTCTTCCAGAGTGATCAGAAGAGGCTCTATGAATCATTGGAGCGACCGATGGTACGTGGAACGGGCCCAGCACCGAAACAGGCCGACACTATCGCATTCTGGTGCGGCCTGTGGTCAGAGCCCGTAAACCACAGCGAGGGCCCTTGGACGGAAGTTGTGGCGAGTCAGTGTGCGAATATTACGCCCATGGACCCCGTCATCATAACGCCGGATGACGTAGCTGAGGCGGTCCGTAGGGCCCCGAACTGGAAAAGTCCGGGACTCGACGGACTGCATCACTACTGGCTGAAGGGGTTCGTGGTGTGTCACGCTGTGCTCGCCCGACAGTTTCAAGAGGCTCTTGACCAAAAGTCGCTCCCGAGCCTCTTCACTACTGGGATCACTCATTTGGTTCCTAAAGACCGGGATTCCACAGACCCGAGCAAGTACCGCCCCATAACGTGTCTACCTACCATATACAAGACATTAACATCCATTTTGAGCGCGAGAATCACTCGTCACCTGAACTCAAATCAGGTGATGTCGCGCGCTCAAAATGGATGTCGGGGCGGTGGTCGTGGAACCAAGGAACCACTCCTCATTGACGCGGTCATTGGCAAGGTGGTTAAACGCAACCGTCGGAACCTCTCCGCCGCCTGGATAGACTACAAAAAGGCATTCGACTCGGTGCCTCATACATGGCTTAAGAGGGTCCTCGCACTGTACAAGGTTGACTGTACGGTTCGAGACTTCCTTGGGCAGTGTATGGGGCAGTGGAGTACGATCCTTTGTCATCTAGGCCAGCGGATGACGGCTGCGGAGAACCACATAAGGATAAGAAGGGGTATCTTCCAGGGCGATTGTTTGAGTCCAATCTGGTTTTGCCTCTCTCTGAACCCTCTCAGTACCTTACTGGAGGGTTCCGGGAGGGGATTTCAGCTTCGGAAAGGAGGTACAAAAGTGACTCACCTTTTCTATATGGATGATCTCAAGTTATTCGCCTCCAGTCGCTCCCATCTTGTGGAATTGCTAAACATCACTTGTGATTTTAGCAATTCTATTGGAATGAAGCTGGGGATGGATAAGTGTGCGATCCTCCATGTCGAAAGGGGAAGGGTTGCTAACTCTGAGGGCATGGACTTATCTATGCCCATCAGCATAAGGACCCTTTCCGAGGCTGAAACATACCGATACCTGGGTATGTCACAGAACATCGGTGTCGATGAGGCGGGTATGAAGCAGTCAGCTTGCGATGTGTTTTATGCACGCTTGACAAAAATGCTTAACAGTCTTTTGTCGGGCGTTAATAAGACACACGCTTATAACGGCTGGATCATGCCTGTTCTCATGTATACCTTTGGCATACTCAGGTGGACTCAGACCGAACTGAACGCTCTGGACAGAAAAGTCCGCACTATAATGACGTCCCACAGAGTGCATCATCCGAGATCGTCGGTAATGAGGCTGTACTTGCCGCGGAAGCATGGTGGGCGCGGCTTTTTAAGCGCGCTTATCCTGCATAATCGCGAAGTGTGCAGCCTCCGTAATTATTTTCTGTCGAGAGCGGATGATCCATTCTATAGGGACGTTATTTTTTGTGATAAAGGACTTACCCCTCTATCCTTAGCCAACGAGCAATGGCAAGACCCGGCAGTACAGAGCATTTCCGACCGGGAGACCGTATGGAAGGAGAAGGAGCTCCACGGGAGGTTCTACAAGGCTCTACATGAGCCTTTCGTAGATACAGTTGCCTCCCTCCACTGGCTACGTTTTGGTGACCTCTTCGGGGAAACCGAGGGTTTTGTCTGTGCAATACAGGATCAGGTTATTAAGACCAACAACTATCGGAGATACATCCTAAGGGATGGCACCGTCGACATTTGTCGAGCTTGTCGCCATCCTGGTGAATCACTTAGGCATGTCATCTCCGGTTGTTCGGCGCTTTCTAACTCTGAGTACTTGCATTCTAGTACCAGGATTCTACACCAGGAGCTCGCTCTGAAATACGGTCTCGTGGATCGGAAACTGCCTTATTATAAGTACATGCCGGAAGCCGTGCTCGAAAATGACCGCGCCAGGCTCTACTGGGACCGGGCCATCATCACAGACAGGACCATTCTTGCGAATAAGCCTGATATTGTGCTGATGGACCGGGCACAGTCAAGGATATTTTTGGTCGACATTACCATTCCGTATGACGAGAACCTCGTGAAAGCCGAAACAGATAAGCGAACAAAATATCTGGACCTGGCTCACGAGGTGACCGACATGTGGGGTGGACTGTCGGCCGAAATTATACCTGTAGTCGTTTCTGCGAACGGGTTAATCCCAGTCAGCCTCTCGGGTCATCTGAGGCGACTGGGACGGACGGACCGCTCCAAGCTCAAATGCAGAAGGCGGTGCTCCTCGATACCGCCCGCATCGTCCGCCGGTTTCTTTCCCTTTCCCCCTAACCCTCGGCCGTTTGGTCTCCCCTGCCGAGGGCTTCCATCTGGTTGGGTTTTTATTTATTTATGTATTTTTTATGCATTTATTTTATTTTGTTGATATTTATGTATGTTTATCATTTTCATTTACAATTATATATTTATACAGCCCAACCAGATGAGTAAACTATATAGATGCCCCAAATAATAATAATAAATTTATTTATTTACCGGAAATAGCCAAAATACAGAAAAGTTCTGTGACGAAAAAAAAATACGACTTAATAATTATGAAAAATTACAGACATAACAAGCATATTCTAATTTAAAGGAGCGTGAGTGTGTATGAGTGTGTGTGTATGAGCGTGCGTGTGTATGAGTGTGCGTGTGTATGAGTGTGAGTGTGTATGAGTGTGAGTGTGTGTGTGAGTGTGTATGAGTGTGAGTGTGTATGAGTGTGTGTGTGTGTGTGTATGAGTGTGTGTGTATGATTGTGTATGAGTGTGTGTGTGTGTGTTTGCGCGCGTGCGTGCGTGCGTGCGTGCGTGCGTACGTGCGTGCGTGCGTGCGTGCGTGCGTGCGTGCGTTCGTGCGTGCGTGCGTGCGTGCGTGCGTGCGTGCGTGGGTGCGTGCGTGCGTGCGTGCGTGCGTGCGTGCGTGCGTGCGTGCGTGCGTGCGTGCGTGCGTGCGTGCGTGCGTGCGTGCGTGCGTGCGTGCGTGCGTGCGTGCGTGCGTGCGTGCGTGCGTGCGTGCGTGCGTGCGTGCGTGTGTGTGTGTGTGTGTGTGTGAAGTTTGAGTGGTGAGGTAGCCCTACGATTAAATTCTTGGGATCAGACGGCAGTGCTGGCGTCATTGCTGTCCACTACCGTTTTAACACCGTTTATTTAAGGGTCACCAATATTGCATGCCGAGCGAAAAGCGCATAGGTATGTTCTACTAGCGTCTAAAAATCAAGATTCCAACGTTTTCTCGCATGAAATTGTATCCAGCAATCATATTATACATATAAATGATATAAAAAGCACATTGTCAGAAAGATAAATGATTGTTGAACTTATAATTTTTTTTTAAATCGATTAATTGCTATTTTTACATAATAATGGGTTTTAGTGGCTTATGGTGTGGATTTATTAAGTACTCAAGGCTTGTAAACACGATAACTTTTGAAAATATCAATGGTTTAACTGAATCTATTTTTAATCTCTTCATCTATCATGTGGGAAACCACTGAATGTAAATGACAGTGTAATTTTGTTTTGTTTAGCTATAATAAATTTTTTTCAGCTCCAAAATGGCGAAATTTTCGGTGATTTCGCAGCCTTGTGTTAGAATTTATTTCGGTAAATGGAGACTGCCTGTGCCTCGGTCACTCGCACTCGCTCGCTTTGTTCGGCGTCAACCGCCGTTGTGAGTGGATACTGTATTGGTTGTTGGCAGCGGCTCAAAAAGATCGCTGTTCAAATAAATACAAAATATTCGAAAAACAAATTTCATACATATATAATTTATAATTAATTTAAAAATTAATATATAATTTCATAATAATCAGAGATTTTTATTACAATATTTTAAAAGCACAGAATAAATAATAGTAGTACGTACTAAAAGTAAGTAGGATGTAATATTTATATTTGAATACGTCTTGGACTTTTTGGAGTGACATGAATGATGATATGATGATCATATGAGCATTATGAGTCGTGCACTTTGGATTTTCCAAACTTTTTCAAATTGAAGTTTGTCATAAAATTATCGGAAAATTGGAAGTATAATAAGGTTATTAGTGAAAATTTGTGTGTATTTAAACTACTTTAAAAAAAATCCGTATAATCATACTATACGTAATTTCTTAATGCGAAGGCATGCTTAATTGGTTTTACCAATATTTCTTCTGTTTCCTCATAGTCCCAAGTCAATAAATAGTTCTTCATTTTTGTTTTAGCTTCGTAATGTTGGGATCGCTTTAAGCCGTATAAATTGACAAATTTGTTGTAGATGCGTGGGAATAGGAACAGTCTGAAATGATGAGCGAGAGATGTTTTAACCAAGGTTGTGGGGATCTTAAACACTATTTTATTTATTAAAGTATCAAATGTCGTTAGTTTAGAAGCTTACCTGTGCATAAATGTAAACACAATCATAAAGATCAATCAAAGATAATCATAAAGATCAAACAAATCAAACCTCAGAAGATACAATCTACGGACACTTAAAACTTGGGCTTCTCTAAAGAGATCTGACGTATGATAATGCCTTGGTTTACCCATAGCTATCTTCAAAACTGCCCTCTGGGCCCTTTCCAGCACTAACAACGTAGAGGAGGCTATGCCACCCCACGCCAGTATGCAATAGCTAAGTACGGACTGACATAGTGCAAGGTAGACTGACTTTAAAATGGTGCCATCAGTAGAATCTCTCAATAGTCTCATTGTGTGTATCAGCTTACGGATCCTTGCTGATGTCGCTGACATATAACTTTTGAAGTTGAGGTTCTCATCTATTATGATGCCCAAATATTTAAGGGCGCCGACCATATTTATCTGGTCACAGTTACAATTAGGAGAGCTCACAGAGCCAAAACTACAGTTGTTATTATGTACTTTAAGGCTATTGAAAAGTGACGGCGTCGGTTCAGACGCTGCAGTTTTATGAAAACAAATTAACTACGTTTTTGAGGTGTTCAATGTTAAGATGTTGTAATTTAACCATTTTTGTAATTTATGCAACCCGGAGACAGCCGAAAGGTAGGCGTCGTACCAAGATTTACCATAAAATATCATGGCTGTATCGTCAGCATAACATACAACTTCACTATTTTCGATTTCAATTGACATAATGTCATTAATGCATGAAATAAAAAGAGTCGGTCCCAAAATGCTACCATGAGGAACGCCAAAATCTACAGATCTAAGATCGCTTGCTTGATCGCCTATTCGGACACATTGCTTTCTATCCGACAAATAGCTAGAAAACCAGTTTAAAGCCAGACCACGAATACCAAGAGCACTTAGTTTCTTAAGTAGGATGGGGATCGATACCGTGTCGAATGCTTCAGCCAGATCGAGAAAAACACCGAAACAGGATCGACCCCGATCGAGATGAGTTACATACATATCTGTGATAAGACTAACTGCATCCTAAGTCGATTTTCTCTGACGGAAACCAAACTGACGGTCCGAGAGTATACTATTCTTGTCAAGATAGTTAGTCAGCCGCTTATGAACAACGCGTTCTAGGAGCTTAGAGTAACTACCCAGCAGTGATATGGGACGATAATTACAAGGATCGTCCTTAGCTCCATTCTTGTGTATGGGGATAACTGCCGCTATTTTCCACTGGCTTGGAAAGACTCCTGACGAGATACTTAAGTTAAATATAGCAGTCAAAGGCTCCGCAATTGCGTGGGCTACTGATTTTAAAAGTTTGTTAGTGATACCGTCCATACCCGGGGCACTACCTGAATCAAGAAACCGGATGAGACTCAAAACTTCCTGTTCGTCTGTAGGATCCATGAAAAATGAACCAACGGGTTGAACAGGAATCTGAACTTTTTCGGCAAGGGACTCCTGAGTCTCATTTAATTTCCTCATGATAGAGTATGGTAACTTATTACCTACAGAGGCAAAGTAAGAGTTGCAAACATCAAGAGATTCCTTTACAGAGGGTCTTGAGTTGATGAGAGCCAGAGGATAACTTGAACTAGGGTCTTTGCCAGTTATGCGGTTAATAGTACCCCAGAGTTTTTTTGGAGCACATTTATTTTTATTTATTTCTTTATTGTTGTTATGAAATTTTAGTTTTCTGATTAGACCTATGTAAAAATTTCTATAACGCGTATATACAAGTTTTTTAGTAATAATAATGTCCTCCAGACCGAATTTCGGTCACGGCGGCCAGTCTCAGCGGAGACTAGCCATCTGCGCAGGACAGGATTATAGTGCCCAAGTGTATGCGCAAGCACAGGTGCACTCTCTATTCCCTCACTCTCATAGTCCGATGGGACGGTAAACCGACACGACCGGAGAGAGATCAGGCGCAGGACCAACGGCTTTACGTGCTTTCCGAGGCACGGGGGTGAAACACCGCCGGATTCCTGACTCCGGGCAGCTACTGAGAATTTCTTGATGGAAAAACTCAATAACTGATTTTTTTGGCCCGACCCGGGATTCGAACCCGTGACCTCATGATCACCAGTCGCACTACTACAACCACTAGACCAACGAGGCAGTCTCTCTCCAAGTTTTTTAGTAAGGTTGTATTGGATCCTTACGATATTCAATATGAAGCTTGTCACGGTGCTTAGAGCATCTGATTAGACCAGGAGTCATCCAAGGGTGTAAGATGGTTCTAGAGCGGCTTATTACACAAGTTTTCGAGTACCTCAATATTGTTTCTGATACCGTCTTAGTGAAATGACTCACAGACTCGTCACGAGAGCTGGAGTTCATTACTGGGGACCAGTTCGTTCCCTCCAGCTCTGATCTTATTGAGTCTATGTCAACTGTAACTCTTGATCGAATAGGTTTTGTTCCTTTTGACTTTTGTGTCCTTAACATTATGCCTGCCATAGTGATATCATGGTCAGTAACATCATTGAGATACACTATGGACTCCGCGTTAAATCTTACGGGTACAAAAATGTGATCTATGTAGGTTTTGATCCGAGTTGGTTTGGTTATGGCGGGGGAAAGTCCATACTCTGCTAATACATCTAAGTACTCCGTGTGCAAATTTTTGTCACCTGCTGACCCAATAATATATATGTTTATGTCTCCAGCGAAAATAAGACAAGGAGAGGGACTTACCGTTTTTAAGTTAGCGTCAAGAGAGCGAATAAATGTTTCTGGGTTAGTGTAACCAGGTGACCTGTAAGCGGCAACTATTGAGAAATGATTTGTAACTTCTGCGAGAATACAATTACCCTCGTCAACGTTCAGCTCGGAAAAATTGGCTGTCCACCTATCTTTTATGTAGATAGCGACTCCTCCTGCCCTATTAATATACTTCCTAGAGTGAAAAGATGTAAAGCCTTGCAATAGAGGAACCGTCGTATACTCATCTAGCCAGCACTCGCTGAAGACAATAACATCAAAATCAAGATCTAATCTTTTTAGGGTTACTAGAAGGGTATCAAAGTTTCTACGCATGCTTCTTATGTTCATGCTTAAAATCCTAAATGAAAATCTAGACAGAACGTCTTTACACCTCTGGGACTCATAACCTCTGGGACGGTTATGTTATGGCACTTTATCTCGGATGAATTATCTATGGCATCTAACAATCCTAGGGAAGCATGGGAAGATCGTGTAAAATTGATTGGGGTATTTTGGCATTAAAGTGGAGAGTGCCATATAAACAGAAGAAGGGGTACAATTAACCATGAAAAATTTTGAGGAAAGTACATTGGGGAAGAATATGTGTAGGTGTGTTAGAATGTGTGTGTGATTGCGCTTACAATGATAAAGAATTGAGTTTAAATTTATGATATGTAGTACATAAGAAAAATACTGACCATATGGGCTACAAAGTAGTGACAAAATATTAATGACTAGGCTCTTGAGGCTCAGGTAACGTTTATTAAGTGGCTGCCGTATCCGGTTTGGTTTGGGCAGAGAGCAGGCGGCTGAGATCACTTTCGGACTTAATACGGATTGCGGGGCGCCCTTCCTTGACATCCCCTTTCTTAATAAATATGGATCCGTTTCGCAGCCAGCAAAACCTGTAACCTTGTTCGACGGCGAATGCTCTCGCAGTACGAAATAACCGTCCATTTTCACCAGAAAGACGCTCATTTACGTAGATCATATTTTCAGGCCCATGATTCAGAATGTCTTTACTCTTTAGACTTTTTCAAGCTTTCGCGTGTTTAAGAAATTCATCACGTTTAGCTCGGCGGGTGAAAGCAACCACCAAGGAACGCTGAAGTTTACGCTTCCCACGCACGTTAGTCTTTTTGTTTTGGTTTTTGGGACCAGCTCGGTGTGCGTAATTTAAGTCCATGTCCTGAAGCTCAATGCCCAGTTTAGCGGCGACAGTTAATACCAAGTGAGTTGGGTTTTCATTTGGTGTTTCTTCCAGACCCGATATTTCCAGCTCATTTCCTAAGACAATCTGTTCTTGGTTGTTTAAACGAGACTGCAGATCAGCAACGGTGGCCTTAAGGATATTATTTTCTTTTTCTACGTACTCAAGAGACTTTATTCGCCAATCATAGTCGGCCAGTTTGGTGTTCAAGGCGTCGAGACATTCACGGAGGTGGGTAATGTCCTCTCTTATATCAATACTTATCTTGGATAGCTTACAATCAAGCAGCGCGCCAAACTGGTCGTATGTTATTGCCGCAGCGGGAGGGTTGGAGGTCGTAGTAGTATTACTATCTAATTGGCTGTCATTTACTTCCCCCTCGGAGGTCTCCAGAACCTCGCCGCATGACATGTTCGTGTCATCCGCAGCAGTATTGGATAGTAGAGAGAGTTGTCTACGAACCGGTGTGTTGTCCTCCTTGCGTCGAGTGATCCGATTGCAGGAATGGCATTTCCAATTCCTGTTTAAAGCTGGTAAATTTTCTTTGTATTATAAGGATGATATGTTGTAACATTTGTAGTGATAGCATCCCTTGCACGCAGAGCAACTCAACTGTTCCTCGGGTCGGGTAATTTTATGACAGGCCAAACAAATCATTTTATTTTATGTATGTAGCAGTTGTAATATTATGTTCAAGTTAGTTATTTCTAAAACGCGCAGAGGCAAGCAACGCGCTTCAGAGAAACTACGAGTCGTAGGTGAGTAGGCGGGACGAACGAGTTTTGTAGTCCGCAGCAATCCTCGTAGCGATTCAAGTCACTGCTCCGACGTTACGTGTCGATTCATCGCCTTTTCGGGTGTCTTCGAGCTTCATCGCCGGAAGGCGGTCATTGACCTTAGTAGAACACTGTGATAGACAAACTGAGCGCACACTTGTTGAGGTAGATACCAGTTTGACAGTAGCCACTAAGTTTTTACACTATTTTAGAGTAACTCTCGCGGAGCAAACGGTTACGGTGTTTACTTAGTAACGGTCGCGGACGAACTCCCATTACTAGCTTTTTTTTTATAGGATAAGGGTGACAAACGGGCACACAGTCCACATGATGGTAAGTGGTTGCTGCGGCCCATAGACATCTACATCTATCCTCTATTACAAATCAAAATGCAGATGCGTTGTCACCCGTGAGGACTAAGATGGAATGCCTCATTTCCAGTAAAAAGGGCCTCCGGCCACCTGCACTCACCAAGCGAAACGCAGAGGTAAACCTCTACTTCACGCTGGTATTCTGTGAGGTCGTGGTACCATCCCGGTTCGAGCCGGCCCATCCGTGCGACAGAAAAAGCCGCCACGTGGCTCTACCACTGTTGAAACTGCTACTTTGTACTTTGGTAGAGCTTGGTACTCGTATTAAAAATAGATAACGTTTAGCTAAGGATGACACGCCGTGCATTATATTAAAAATTCCGCTCGCAACTAAAACTGTTCGGGGCAAGCGGAGCAATAAAACCAAGGCGCCCCTGTCACGCTATCCGTGAATTTTTGCAACATCAGGGGGCTTAATTCCAACCCTTACGCTATCCTTTCTCATCTGGAGACGGCGAAGCCGGCCTTGCTCTTTTTAACCGAGACTTAGGTGTCCTCTCCAGCTGATACTTCATATCTCTCCTACCCGGGGTACAAATTAGAACACTCCTTTGCGCCCCGGGCTGGAGTTTGAGTATACGTCAGAGAGGACATCTGTTTTCGACGTATCAGCAGTCTTGAAGGTACGGAACTGTCCATCCAATGGCTGCGCGTAGACAGCGACGACCATCCCCGCGTCTACGGGTGCCTCTATAGGTTCCATAGCGGTAATGCCTAAACAGACCGACTCATCGGCCACGTTCAAATGGCTACAGATTCCTTGTTACAGCAGATCACATCCGCAGAGATCGTGATCCTTGGCAATTTTAACGCCCACCACGCCGAATGGCTCGGTTCACGTTCCACCGATCATGCGGGGAGATCTGTTTATGACTTTGCCTTGGCATATGGTCTTACACAACTGGTTACTTCGCCTACGCGGATTCCAGATGTGGTCGATCATGTATCTTCCTTGTTGGACCTTCTGCTGACCTCTCATCCGGACGGATATCAGGTTTCCGTCAACGCTCTTTTAGGCTCGTCAGACCATTATCTTGTCCGGAGTTAAGTGTCACTCACACTTACGTCGCGGTTGCATTCTGCAGGCTGCCGCCGTGTTTGGCACTATAGGTCGGCTGATTGGGATCATCGTCATCATCATTACAGCCCTTCACAAGTCCACTGCTGAACATAGGCCTCCCCCAAGGAATGCCACAAAGCACGGTCCTGAGCCACCTGCATCCATAGAGTTCCTGCATATCTTACCAGGTCGTCACTTCATCTAGTGGGGGGACGCCCTACACCAAAGAGAATATAACCACTACGTCCTACACTTCGTTCGCTGGTACGAGGCCGCCACTGGAGAACCTTTTTTCCCCATCGGTTGTCGGTTCTTCGCGCTATATGGCCGGCCCATTTCCACTTCAGCTTACTAATCCGTTGGGCTATGTCGGTCACTCTGGTTCTACTGCGGATATCCTCATTTCTAAGTTTATCACACAGAGAAACTCCGAGCATAGCCCTCTCCATAGCTCGTTGAGCGACCTTGAGCTTTCTTATCCGGCCAGCAGTGAAGGACTACGTCTCAGTTCCATGTTGTACAGTCTCGTTTTCAAGTTTTGAGGTATATCTGACGACAAGATGTGCCATAATTTTCCGAACGCTGCCCAGCCGAGTGGAATCCGTCGATTGACCTCTCGGTCGAAGTTGGACTTACCTAGTCGGACTATCTGTCCCAGGTACACATACTCGTCAACATCTTAGAGCTTAGTGCTCCCGACAACTACCGGCATAGGTGTGACATGGACATTAAACATGATCTTTGTTTTGTCCATGTTCATCTTAAGACCTATCCGTTGGGAAACACTATTGAGGTCATTTAGTATAGTGCTTAGGTCCTCCAGCGATTCTGCCGTAAGGACTATATCGTCGGCAAATCGAAGGTGGGTGATGTACTCGCCATTGATATTAATGCCGTATCCTTTCCAGTCCAGAAGCTTGAAAACGTCTTCCAATGCAGCGGTGAAGAGTTTCGGGAATATAACGTCACCCTGTCTTACACCTCTCTGCAATTGGATAGGTTTCGTACTCTGGTTCTGTACTCGGATAGTCATCGTAGCCCTACTGTACAAGCACTTCAGCACTTCGATATACCGACAGTCAACATATCCGACCGACAGTCGACAGTCAAGTATGTATGTGGTCTATGGTGCTAAAGCCTTTTCGGAAACCGGCTTGTTTGGGAGGCTGGAAGTCGTCAAGTCTGCACGCTAGACGATTCGTAATGACTCTCGAAAACAGCACGTAGACGCGGCTTGAAAAGGGAAATTGTCTGTAGTTCTTCAAGAGAGCGTTGTCACCTTTCTTGAAGAACAAGACCACCGCACTTCTGCTCCACGCCTCCGGTGTAATACCACCATGGAGAACGGAATTAAAGAGCTTCTGAAGGACTTCAAGTACCGGTTTTCGACCCGCTTTCACAATCTCCGCTGTAATTCCATCCTCGCCTGGGGCCTTGCCGTTTTTAAGGTGCTGGAGAGCGATTCTAATCTCGCTCAGACTGACGTCCGGGATATCATCGGAATAGTGTCTGATAAGACTCGCTCTTGGATCGTTACTCACACTTGCGTGTGGCTCCATCGATGACGTGTACAGCTGCCCATATAATCTCTCAATCTCACTCATAATCTCAGGTGTCCCGGAAACGACGCTGCCACACTCGGTTTTCAGCTTCGACTGTTGGCTCTTTCTGGCAGACAGATCTCTAGCAAAGACTTTGGAGCCCTGGTTCCGCTCGATCGCTTCTTCAATACGAGAAGTATTAAAGTTGCGTAAATCCCGCCGCATGCATTCGGAGATCTGTCTGTTCAGTTGCCTGTATGCTGTCAAATCCACTGAAGTCTGCAGCTTGATATCCCGTCTAACAGCCGTGAGATTAAGAGTGTGATCGGAGAGTTTTTGTGTTCTTCTGCGGCGGGTCTTACAAAACTTAGCTCCGACCGCATGGACAGT